AACTGCTCGCCAGCAAACTAGCCAACAAACCAGCAAACAAACAATCCAAGTGAAGGAGACACAATACAATGACGACAGTTTGCACGGACAACAGACGCAACCAGGACAGCCAACCATATCAGCAGCCGTGGGCAAACAGAACGCACCAAAAGACAAGAAGGCACGCAATGGTAGAGTGTCCCGACTTCAAGATACCCTCCACTCACTGCCTTATACAAATTACGAAATTAAAAAAAATTTAATTTAAATTTGTCAGATTTATAATATTTCTACAGGGTTAGCAAATAGTTGTTATTAAAATCATAAAGTAACAATTGAGCTACATATATTTTCTTTATATAAAAAAAATTGTTACTTTTTTTTTATTTAAACAACTTTTAAAGAAATTATTTTATGTAAAAATTAAAAATAATCTGTTTTTGAATTTTTTAATAGATCTGAAATAATACTTATTATATTAGAATTTCAATTTATTTTAATCCCAAATAATAATAGTAAATGAGATTTTTATCTTTTTTGGAATTTTATCTCTTGTCTTTTTAGTTTGCATGGTGTATTTAGGCTTAATAATTTTCAAGATAAGCAATGCGGCCTTAGATTTTGATACTAATTTTTATGTGGTAAAAAGATTAATTGGGATGAGATTCTATTAATGAGACTGATTAATCATGAGAAAAAAAAATTGGACCAATATTTATTTATTTATTTTAATTATAGTTTAATTAAATAGATATCGTATTATTATAAAACTTCCATGATTTGATAAACTATTTCAGACCAGATTTGAACTGATATTAGCAAATGTTTTATTGTTTTTTTTCCTCCCAAGATCCTTCACTCCGAAGAGGGCGATATATCACTCGCCTTCGGATCACTGGGTATAAGTATGGGTATGGAGAAAACATTTTGTTTGCAGCGCATGGCAACCGAGAGAAGTGGCACCAACTTGCTGAAGTCCCGAGTCGCAACGGAGGAGGCGAACTAGATGAGGGACAGTAGGCGGCATGCGGCATGCGGCAGGCGGACCGGCCTTGTTTATGAATACGCGGGCATTGTCTGAATGCGAGATGCCGATGCCGAAGCCGATGCCCATGCCCATGCCCATGCCGACCGAAAGACATGGCACAACCAGGAAGAGGTGGATCCGGGCGAGAATTGGCTGGCCAAAAAGATACACGAAACAACAGCAAATATAGATATATCGTATATTCTACGCGATGCAGATATGTACGCATCCAGCGGCCGTGTGTGTTTGGGAACTAAACAAGAAAATATTGACATATAGATTAAGACTTATTAAGGGAGCTCGAGCTCGGTAGTCGTCGACATCAGATCGCTGGGAATGCTGACGCGCGAAAAGAGAGGGAAAACCGAGATGGAGTTCGGAGTTGGAGTTGGAGTTTGGAGATGAAGCAATGTGGCATGTTGCATGTCGCGTGGGGTGACATGTTGCCCGATCTGCCGTCTGCCACAAAAACACGTGCAGCCGCAGATATATATGTGTATATATATGTATATATGTACAGATATCATGGCACTTGAATTGAGGCAGGTTCGGCCGACGCACACTCATGGCCAATATTTGCCAGCAAATATGGTCGAAATCTATATTTAGACGCTGACGATCCGCCAATCAACCGATCGATCCACGATCCACGATCTACGATCCCCGATCCCCAATCCCCGTTCCCTATCGTCTTCCTCCGAAAAGCCGGCCTCGAACCCAAGACCAAGAAACCGGAGCGTATCGCCATTAACTGGCTTTCTATTGGAACAGTTGGGCACAGCGGTTAGCGGAAAGGCCAGCCGAAAGCAAAACAAAGCCGAAACAAAAACAAGAGTGAGACTTGGCCAACTGCGAGTATTTTTCGGCTGCTGCGCCCACATGGATACATAGATACATGGATACATGGATCGGTGCTAAAACTGATCGCCAAAACTGATCGCCAATGCAGCGCATTAGTCAAAGCTGACTTTTCTTTCTAGCGGCATTTAGTGTGTGGGTGCCACAGATCGGTGGGGAATTTCAGCTGAGATCACACTCAGTGGCTAAGGGCTTTTCGAAGAGGCAATAATCTTTGGGACATCTGTATATAATGTCCAATATAGAGATGGTTTTATTACAGTGACATCACTTAACACTCCTCAAATGATTATCGGTAGTCCGCGATTATCAATTTTGGAAATGGCCTAAATACTAAACAAAACGAAATAAAACTATTTTAAAACCACTTGCAAGACATCCAGTTAAGATGGAAAATATTACTAACTAATTTTTAGGAATTCATAGAGTGAATTCGAACAATACACAAAAATCCATACATTTTCCGTAGACAATTCTGCAATAACACCTTTATAAAAGGATTTATTTGCCTTCTGCTTAATTATGAACTATATTTAAAGGGAAGTCATTTATAAACTGGCATTGATCTCATTATTAGAAAATATTAAAATTAAAATTGATGGATGTTGGGAAAACCATTTAATCCATAAAGTTTCGGTAACTGAGCTCCAAACACCTTAATAACTTTAATCAGAACATCAGTTATTAGAGTTAAGCATAAAGATATTTATTGGAAAGCGCCCGAAGGGATAATCTCTATCCCAAGAATAACTGTGCACATAGGGGGTCTTATGAGGTGGGATCTTAACACACACATCTATTTAAATGACCATCGAGATAAGCGAAAAAACTAAGATATATGACTGGATTAGTAAGTATATGTGCGATGTTCCCATGCAGGGCAAAGATCATTAGCGATTGCCATCGACAAACTGGGACGGCAAACACATACGAAGTCGGGTAACTCTACCTGAACTGGACGGCGAAAGCAAGAAGGCAACCCATTGATAAGACTGCCACAGTGGACTATCTAAAGCTAATAGCTATGACAACCGCAAATTGCATGAGAAATTCCATATCAACACGGTGGAAACTGGGAGGGGAGGGGTAGGGGGAGGGACAGGTAGGGGGACACAGGTAATGACAGTAAACATTCTCCACTTATCAGCAATCAGCAGTGATGCACGCACAGTGAACAAACTTGGGCATATTTTACTCAAAATAATATGATTCAGTGTATATAATTAATACAGTAAGGAATTATGATGATAAAAGTTAATTGTTGTGCAACTCAAGAAGAATTATTTAATCTTAACTATATTATAATTTAACTGGAATTTAATAATATTTCTGGTTTGGTTTTTGCGAATTTTAATAAACTCCAAACATTAATAACTACAGCAAAAATGTATGACTCTACAACGATTTATTCTGTGCAGCTAATTAATTTAATAACTTTATACACATTTAACTAGTGAAAATTCCGTCCAACCTTTCGGTTTGTTTTTCCAGGTCAATGAACTCTAACAAATAACAACTTTGAATAATTGTGTATAGTTGTTAGTAAAAAGCTGAAAGTATTTTATATTTTTTATTGTGCAACTTTTATATATATCTCTAATTAAATACTAATTTTAGTTATATTTGACAGATTATATTTGTAAGTTTCTGTATTAATTGTCCCAGATTTGTATTTCTAAGGCAAATCGTAATACTTTTGAAAAAACCCATCTTTAAAAAGAGGGAGACAGTTTTGTAATTAGCTCCTACCCAAGCAATCAGATAAATAGATTAGCATTATAAATTAGCCTTTTAAAGCGGCATAAACGTTTAAATTAAATACCATTGCATTAATTCCCTTGATTACTCAGCCATTAAATTTAGGAGATAGCTTTAAGATGTTTTCGAGTCAATTAAAATAATGCACACTTATGTATGTTCCAGATGATTTTATCAAACTTAGAGCTCTACAAAATGTTCTCTCTGTGCACTTGTGGAAACCGCAGTGAGGTAATTTAGACCCGATTCCGCGTTTTTGCGGTGGCTTTGGTTTTGCATTTGGTTTTGGTTTCGGGCTTGGATTTAAGTTGTTGGCTTTCGGTTTTCGCATGCGATAAGGCACGGGACAAAGCCAATTGCTGCGGTTGAAATTCTGGGGGGAAAAAGAGGGAAAGTGTTAACTGCGGCTGATTAGCCATTTGAGCGGTTCCACAGCAATCCACACAAATTATCAAAATTTCAGCCGTTTATCATCAGGTGCGTGATAGCAGGAGGGCGGTGCCCGACGGGAGAATATGACAACGGCGGCAAAAATGCGAATGCTGGTGGGGTATACATTTGTACATATATATATGTATAAAGACGGTGCTATAAGGTGGACTGCGAATACCTGGCCGATTAGCAATCCACTGTCAAAATGCATTGAAAGCGAAAGACGACACTAAAGGAAATGCGCTCCAAAAGGTGCAATGTACTGAGTGGGCAAAATAAAGAGGACGAGAAAAGAACCCGACGCACTTTCGGCGAGAGCGAAACACACTCAAAGAAAAGCCAGGTATTTTCAAACACAATCTATGATAATTGCCACACCGAAATTTGTCACACATAAAAAGTGTTCACTTATATTTCCATTGTCAATAAACCTACTTAGACTTTAAGATTTATAAATTAATTGATCGAAAAACGCTATTGGCTTGTTTAAAGTATATTTTTCCATCATTTAAGATTATGTTATTGTCAAAAGAATTTGGTGTTTTTTAAATGAGTATATTCAGGACTTAAAGAAAAAATAATTATTGCAAAAAATACTTAATCAAGGGACAATTTAATCTTTTGTAAGTATAAACAAATTATGAATACTCGTTGATGAAAAGTCAAAAATGAAATACTGTTTACAGCAAGCTGCGAGAAATGGTTGTAATAGTATCATTTGCCAATCATTACAGTAAGCCCCCCTGGCTGTTGCTAGTCCACTGATCCGAGTAAGCACTGTATTTTTCGGAGTGAAAAAAGGGCGAGTGATAAAGAGAGATCGAAGAGGAGTCCGCGTGGTCGCTGAACTTGAACTTGCCGCAGGATGGGCATTACGGGGAAGTGGTATATGTATATGGATGGGATGGGATGGGGCTACTGTCATCACTTTCGATCAATTTATTACCAGGGGAACGCCAACGCCAACGCCACCCAAATCGAAACTCTGGAGCTCTGGAACCCTGGAACCTGCTCCAATTTTATGCACTCGCGCACTCACTCGTCGGCCAAACTCCACTACCACTTCACTTTTCGCACTTTTCTGTGCTGCTGTTGTTGTTATTAAACAATTAAATATAAATAACACAGCGATGTGGTGCAAAAAAAAAAAAGGAAAATTGAAACAGAATAGGAGGAAATACAAAAAAATATGTGTATTTAATTGAGCGCGACACGCAGCAATCTTGTGCGACACATTTCAGCTGCAGCAATTCTCGCGATCGTCTAGCGCCGCAACGCTTATGACTACGGGTACGACTACGACTGCGACTACGACTACGACTACGGCTTTTCGGATTTGTACTCGACTCGACTCGACTCGACTCTCGGTATTAAATTGTGGTTTCTTCACTTTTCATACAAGGCGGCACAAACGCGACGACCGACTGTGGCCGAGTGCGAACTCGAACTGAAGTGAAGCCGCCGACAAAACGAAGATCGCCGCCAAACGGCGACGCCAGCGGCACCAGCAACAACTCTGTGCGATAATAACAGCAGCAACAGCAACAGCAACACAAACAGCAACAGCAACATCAACGGCAGCAGCAGCAACAACACAACAGCAACATTACGAGATGCGAAACGATTGCGCACTGTGGTCACGGGGCTATGGAATATTCTGCCGGAAGATCGCCAAGTTACCAGGTATTGCTCAACATGAAACATGGAAATACGTTTCGAGTTTTATTCTAAGGTGTCTAATACCCTAAAACCCAATTAGATATTTTTTGAAGTTGAAAATTCAGAGACAGGAGATCGCCAAGTCACAATGCACAACCTTAACCATTAAAGTATTACTTTTCGATTTTTTGTGGGGTGTCAAAACTACCAAAAAATAAGCTGCCATATTTTTTCAGAAAAGTAATAACCATATTGTGTAATTAACTATTTTGTGCTAAGATTCTATAGTTTACTGCCCAGTGATTACGGGAGTATGGATATTCTGCCAGGAGATCGCCAAATTACAAAGTATTGATCAATCTAAAACATCAAAAGGCTTTATTATTTTTATTCTTTTTCCAGGGTTTCAAATCTCCTAGACATACTGCGTTACCTTGATTGATTTTGTAATCTATAATTTAATTTCTTAATCTATTCTTTTTATTGAACTCGAGTAAGGAATTTGAAAACCGACATGTTCACTACCACAGCTTTATTGATTTTTTATAAGCGCTTTTCCGAAAAATCGTTAACTAATTCTTGTGTTCAGATGGAATACTTTTCTATGAAATCGTATCGAAGTTTCGAACATGTTCAGTTTTGCATAACTTTTATGTTTTATTTTCGAGTATGAACGTCAGTCAATCGAATCATTTCTATGGTCCACAAATTTGTTAGCTGTTTTGTCATTCAAATTGCCTTTGATTTATAAACAAGGACTTTTCACCATGTTTTATTTACTTTTTACAATAAAACATTTAATTCAAAATCAACACTTGAAAGGTTCCTTCTCCTTCAATATTATAATACAAAGGCTTTTTATACCCTTGCAGGGGGTATTATAATTTTTGTCAAAAATGTGCAACGCAGTGAAGGAGACATCTCCGACCCTATAAAGTATATATATTCTTGATCAGGATCACCTCCTGAGTTGATATAAGCATGTCCGTCTGTCCGTCTGTCCTTCTGTCCTTCTGTCCGTCTGTCTGTTTCTACGCAAACTAGTCTCTCAGTTTTAAAGATAGAAACTTTGCACACACCCTTCTTTCCTTTGCACGCAGTATATAAGTCGGAACGGCCGGGATCGGTCGACTATATCCTATAGCTGCCATATAACTGATTGATCGGAAATGCCATAACTTTGGTGTTTTTAAAGTTAGGAAGTTGGGATTTTATTTTTGGCCAATCAATCGGACCTACTAAATTTCATAAGGATCGGCCAACTATATCCTATAGCTGTCATATAACTGAATGATAGGAAATGCCATAACTTTAGTGTTTTTAAGTTAGGAAGTTGGGATTTTTTATGAGTATTAAGAATGCATCACATGAATAATTTTGGAGAATATAATTTACAGAATATTCTGCAAGGGTATATCAACTTCGGCTCTGCCCGAAGTTAGCTTTCCTTTCTTGTTAAAATGTATTTTATTAATAAAATGTTTTTATTATTTTTTATATTCTACCAACGAATCATTTGTAATTTAAAAATTGCAAAATACTTTTAAGAGAATTGCGAAGCTGGCAAAAAACTGAAAAGTGCTCAGCAAAGTGAAATATTTTGCGACAGGTGCTGATTTATTTCCCTTTTTAGATGTAGTGCTTACAATTATCAAAAATGTGGGCTGCCCAAATACAAAACATTTGTTTTAAATGATTTTTTGTGAGCTATGATTCGTAAACCAACCAAGCTAATGCATATGGAACTCAACAATTTGGATTTCTTTATAAAGGTAATTTTCTTTCTCATGGAAATGCTGACCAAATCAATATAAATCGTTGTGAAATGAGACTCTTGATTGTCAGAAAATTATGACACCTTCAATTTATAATTTGCAAGCAGTTATTCTTGGGTCGCGCTAAATTCATTACATAATTTAGCTTGAAATTGTATTTACTTGCAGATTTGTATTTATTTCGTATATTGATTTTTTTAACGGACGTGGTTAGACCGATCCGATAGTTGTTTTATTAATATTCCTTACAGCTTATGGTGGCCGAAATGCGTTTACATATTACAAAACCTTATTCTGTACCAGAATATTTTTAGAAGTTCCCTTATTTTATTGGTTTTATCTTTATTTAGCCTAATATCAATATCACATCCCTTATAATTGGTAATATAAAAGGGATGTGATATTGATATTAGGCTAAATAAAAATAAAACAAATAAAATCAGGGAACTTCTAAAAACATTCTGGTACAGAATAAGGTTTTTCTTATTTTATAGGGTCTCTTATTTTATTTGGCCTAATATCAATATCACTTCCCTTTTATATTATTTCGTTTGAATCTAAGATATTGTGACAAGTTTACATTGAAACTGTCACTTGCGTTTTGTTATCTGTTTGGCTTGGTATAAATTTATAACAGAAAATTAAGGTCAAGAGAGATGCATACTTTAGTATTTGGTCAGTCGTTACCTAGCTGGAAAAGAAATAGGACCCATATTTATTTTTGTTTGCTTCGCTTGACTTGTGGTTTTATTGGATATGTTCTCTCATTTTCAGTTTCCCCTTTTTTAAAGTGTGTGAGTATACTCTAAAATTCAGAAGGCGCCGATTACCGATCGACAATTGTCGATGACCGATTAGCGATCACACACCCTGCGTTTTCGCTCGATTAAATAAAAGAAGCTTCTGTATTTGCTTCCCCATTAAACCTTTCCACTTCGAATTTCAGGTTTTTTTTGCCACCCATCCCCACCCTATATTGTTGTGTTGTTGGTGGTGTGCCATTGTATCGTTTCGTCGATCTCATTCGCAAATTATCTTTGTTTGCGAAATTGTAATTGTTTTTGCCATGCACAATTCAGCAAGAAAACCAAGAAAAGAATACTAGTTTCGAAGGCCGACGTCAGAATACTCTTAAAAAAAGCATAAGCTCATTAAAAAAAAATTAAACATACTGATGATATTATTAAAAAAAGTCCATTATCTGTTATTCTTCATTCCAAATTTAATTTAAAATACAAATTATTCTTGAACAGTTTTGAGAAGACAAATTAAATTTTTTATGATCTAAGCTTCTATTAAAATTCTTCACTGCATTGTAAAGATCTTCTGATATTATAATACCCTTTTAAAGAGTATAGCAACAAAAATAAATTAAAGCACTCGGAGAAAATACAATAATATTTGTTTTCTATTTATATTTCCATTTTGTTTAGTATTAAAATACATTGGTCTAGTCCTTTTAGGCTTCTTAAAACTATTATTTTAATGCCATTTTGTAATAAAATAATATAAATAGATTTATTTGGATAATTTTTTTTCTCAGTGCAACCAGAGTGCCCAACAGCAGCAGCAGCATTACTATTGTTGTAGTCGATAATGGCTTTTCTGTTTACTTTTTGCTCGTCCCCAAAAGCGGGGCGTGTTCGTTGCTTTGTACTTTTGTTTTGTTAATAGTTTTTTTGTGGAGCTGCTTAGCTATTTTGTTGTTGTTTTATTTTTATTATACCTTGACATAGGGTATTTTCATTTTTAGCATGTCTTTTCAGAGTCATTTAAATATTATAACCATAGCATTAATATTATGTAAAATTGGATACAATATCAAAAACACTTTTAAATTTGTCTAATAATGCGATTATAATGTTAATTATGTCGGAGTCATTGAAATCTATAACCATTGGTTATGTGAAATTGAATATCATTTTACAATATACTGTTGAATATGTGGGATTCATTTCAATTAGAGATTATATTAAATAGCGTTAATGTAATATAAAATATGCACTCACAAGCAATAGCATTTTTTAGAGATTTTAAAATAATTTTATATATAGATAATAATATATCGAATACATCATATTTTTGCAACATTTTTATAATGTGATAATGTTCTTATAAAATAGCATTTCAGTTGGGAAATAATAGTTCTTCTTTGGACAAAAACTTACGGACCTACCTCTACCCTACCTACTTATGTACTTATTTTTTATTTCTGGACTGTGTCCCAGTAGCAAATCATTGAACTATGCTGAGTCTGAGAGTCGGATTCCGATTCTGGGTTGCTGTGTGGGTTGTGGATTGTGGATTGCCATTGTCATTAAATAGTTTGCTTTTCGCTTTTTACTATTACTAATTCTATGCTATTGTTTTTATTTTTTCTTTTATGCATTTGTTTTCTTAACAATAAAATATGGCTGAATAACAAATAAAACAAATGAAAGAGAAAACAACAATTAACAGTTTTTGTGGTCAGTGAAAATATTTGAGCCGTAAAGCGATAAAGTCTAGGGTAGCACAAAAGAAAAATATTGGCAAAAGTCTTGATTTGCGGAGGGGTATAAATCTTTTAAAGTCAAATTCTTGTGTCAACTTGTTAAATAAATATGATTCACAAAAAAATCACCAAAATAAAAAGTAAATACTGCTCATACAAAGTAGAAATTTATTTTTTAAACAGTTCCTGATAATCCTGATATTAATATTTTTCCGACAAAATTATCCCGTGCAACAATAAAACCCTCGGAAGATCTTAATATTGCTTTATGACTAAGTCGGTTACTTTTTGAAAAAGGTACATCAGTCAAAAGTTACAGACATACGATTTCAAATAAGCACACTACTAAATGATTTTGGTTTAGTCTGAATTAATCTGAACTTAAATTTTAAGATTTAAAATTAGGGTTAGATTTTTGGCAGAAAAGTGGCCTAAATTCTGCAAGCTGGAAAGCTTATAACTTTTCTTACAGACATCCTATTTTAAAATGGCATACTTCTAAATGATTGTGGCTCTATAATCTAAAAATCTGTGTATTCAACTTCGTTTTTTTTTTGGTCGATTTTTAGTCATTTCCAAATTTACTTTGAAAATGTGGTTTAATTCTCTAAAACTCTGTGTTTTTATTTAATTTTTTTTTGTCGATTTTTGGTCATTTGAGTGAGGCAACCCCTTTCAAAATGTTCGAAAAATGGGTTTGCAGAAAAGGGTCAAAAAACTGTACTTCTAAGCTCATAACTTTTCTAACAGACATCCGATTTCAAAGTGGCATACCTCAAAATGATTGTTGTTTAATGCTCTTAAAATATGGGGTTTTAATTTAGATTTTTTTTTTGTGTCGATTTTTTGTCATTTCCAAATTTTTGAAAAATGGGTTTGCGGAAAAGTGTCAAAAAACTTGCCAAATTATCGAAAAATGGCTTTGAAAGTATAGCTTAGGTAATTTAATAGAAGGATTTTAATTAAAAATTACAAAAAACTTAGACTTGGAAAATAAATAACCTCATTTTAAATTAAATAAAGACTAAACAAAAATTCGAATAAGAAGAAGTTTTTACTTGTTTGATGTTGTTTTATTTATGATGCAAACGAGTTGAGTATCTCTTGCATTTGCAGGGTAACAAAAGTCTTTTATCTTTTCATTACCAAGAGTCTTTACGTCGGATTTACAATAGCTTTAAAATTGTTAGTTTTATTTTCCCATTCACTCTCGACGGAGAATGAATGGCCGTACAATTGTCCGATTGAGTGGCTCATTAGCCGCGGAGGAGGTCATGTGAACCATTTAGGGAAATTGCATAAGCGATCCACTCAAGTGCCGTCCCATTCTCACGGGATGGGGAGTCCGGAGCCCAAGAAGTTGTGGAGATACACCTGTTATAAGAACGCCACCCTCATTGTGGGCTAATGGAATTTTAACGTTGCACAAACCCACACAACAACACACCTAGCCACCCACAGAAACCCGCACCCAACGACCAGAATTAATGCGAACGTGGCGCATGTTGCTAATGTATCCCTTATTAGCGGACGTACGCATTCCCATCCCTCATCCTGGACCCCATCCCCATCCTCAGACCCACTTCCCGCATCCTGCGTCCTGTGTCCTCGGCTAATCCACTGGAAACATCATTTTGAGCACCTGTTTAATTGCGTTAATCACCAGGAGCAAACATTATTGCCATCGCCATCAGATGCCGGAATGATTATGATGGGGTCCGAGGACCCCGATTACCGCGCTTTTCCGCTTTCACCACTTCGACCTTTCGACCCCTCACGGGGTCGGGATGCTAATGCTAATTTTTATGTACTTTCTCCTGGACGCAGCTGGGTGGAAGTGTCTTTGTTCCTTTTCAGGTACTGCAAGGCATTACAAACTGGACTAGTTTTCAAAATGACACGGCTTTAGTACTGTTTAATAAACAAAAAAGTTTCCTCTTTATTAAAAATTAGCTATCGCAAAACAAAATATCAGTAATTATCAGCAAGAAACAAATTACCGCTAAAATCTAAGATCAAATTTTTACTTTATCATACATTGCGCTCTAATATATTATAAAAATTGATAAAGAACACTATCTGCTGAAAAATTGATATTAAATCTAGTGATGATAAGATGTGTTGTAAAATTTTATTTATGTAGTATTATAATTTTTTGTTCATGTTATAAATGTTTTTATTCAAAAAATACCAATATCTCAATTGCTCCAATAGAAATAAACCTAACGAAAATTGTTTCATTGCCCTATGGTTAGTTTTAAAATACAGTAGTCCTTAAAGAATCCTTATGAATCTGTTGTTAAGGACCATAGTTCGAATGTGTAAAAATCGTTAACAAACAATATAATGTCAATTTCTCGTCCAAACCTAAATGATTAGTGGTTTCATTGAAGGAAACAAAGCTCAAAGAAATTAAAATTAACAAAAAAGGAAAGCTAACTTCGGGCGGAGCCAAAGTTGATATACCCTTGCAGAATATTATGTACATTATATTCTTCAAAATTATTCATATGATGCATTCTTAATACTCATAAAAAATCCCAACTTCCTAACTTTAAAAACACCAAATTTATGGCATTTCCAATCGTTCAGTTATATGGCAGCTGTATGATATAGTCGGCCGATCCTTATGAAATTTAATAGGTCGGATTGATTGGCCAAAAATAAAACCCATAGAAAATCCCAACTTCTTAACATTACAAACACCAAAGTTATGGCACTTCCGATCAATCAGTTATATGGCAGCTATAGGATATAGACAGCCAATCCCGGCCGTTCCGACTTATATACTGCGTGCAAAGGAAAGAAGGGTGTGTGCAAAGTTTCAATTCGATATCCTTAAAACTGAGAGACTAGTTTGCGTAGAAACAGACAGACGGACAGACGGACAGACGGACATGCTTATATCAACTCAGGAGGCGATCCTGATCAAGAATATATATACTTTATAGGGTCGGAGATGTCTCCTTCACTGCGTTGCATACTTTTGACCAACGATTAAGCTAATCAATTTTCAAAAATTCGATTTTAGTCGACCCAACTTCTTTGAGCTCTAAAATGGTAACAACTGATAATATTTCGATTGATTGGGAATTTCTTTTCAGAAAAGAAATCCCAAAACAAGCCAGGCAAAGTACGTCTACGTACCACTCAGATTCCCTTGACCCCAATCGATGATGGATGACTACAAATACCTGTTCAAGATCCTCGTTCTGGGCGACTCCGGCGTGGGCAAGTCCTGTCTGCTGATGCGCTTCTCCGACGGCCGCTTCACCGGCAAGTACCTGTGCACGGTGGGCGTGGACTTCAAGGTGCGCACCGTGGAGGTGGCCGGCCAGGTGGTGAAGCTGCAGATCTGGGACACCGCCGGCGAGGAGCGATTCCGGTCGGTGCTGCCCGCCTACTACCGCGGTGCCCACGGTGTGCTGCTCGTCTACGACACCACATCGGTCAGCACTTTCCGCAGCCTCGACGGCTGGCTGAAGGAGATTCGGCGCCGTTGTCCGGACCGGGTGAACGTCTTCCTGGCGGGCAACAAGTGCGACGATCTGGTGGGGCGCCAGGTGAGCCAGCAGCAGGCCACCCACTACGCCGATCATCGGGAACTCCCGTTCCGCGAGGTGTCCGCCAAGAGTGGCGCCAATGTGAATCACGTATTCGCCGCGTTGGCGGTCGGCATCTTCAACCGCCTGGTGGCCACAACCCCTCCGTCCACCCGCCTCCTGGCTGGGCAGGATCGAAAGGTCGACCCGGAGGACAGGAAGACCGCGGAAAATCCGAAAATCCGTCTACTTAGCAATGGACGCCTGCGATCCAAGCCCATCGAATCCTGCTGTTGAGCAACTCCATTATATTATCTCATTATATTTCCTATAAAAATGTATTCCATTCTATTTAAAAATCGTTAATATAATGTAAACTTTATTTTATTTTAATTTATTTGATAAAAAAAGTCAATTAAAAATGGTCTACTTATTCCTTTTGTAAAAATGCCAATGCATTTTATCACTATTTTTATATTTACTGTACAAATTCTTTTTTCCCAAGCGAACAATTAAGTTTACAGCCCCACATTGTTATGGTTAAATAATCTGTTTTATTCTTGAAAAATAAAACTTGATTTTTTTCTACAAAATGTATACAAATCAACCCAATTCGAAATAAAAAGTTCTAAATAAGTATTACTTTCGGACCCTGAATGACTTAGCATAAAATGTTTATTTTTTAGATCACTATAATAAATATTTACAACTAATATTTATTATTTTACACTATTTTTTATTTGTGTAAAATACAATTTCGAGACTCATAAAATGGTATTCTCGGTGGAAGTTCTCTGCATTCCATTACTCCTGGAAAATCATCCCCTTGAGTTTTACGTGTGCCTATTATTTCCCTCCTCCACAAACACTGCAATCAAATCGTTTCGCAATTGTCCGGCCTCAATTTATTCGGGCTTACTTTCATGTCTCCGCAAAGGTCAAATAAGTGGGCGGTTCTCGTTGAGCGACAAATGTGTCCACATAATCAAAGGGCCTTGCCCTCATCACCATCATCTTACGACTTTGAATGGATTAAAGAACTATCCTTACTATGGCATTTTTTCTTCTGTCTTTATGGTATGCTAAAAGTTAGTTTATTTCATACGTTTCCTCAGCTTGAATTCTGCACAAAATCCTTATTCAAATATTATTCTTTTCGATTTTAAATGTACTTAATCCTTTTTAAATTCATTTATTAAACGAAGATATTTTTAAAAACCTAATTTTCTTTAAACTCTTTTAATCAATTTAATTTTAGGAAACCCGACCTTTATAAGTTAATTTTAGGCTATTTGAATTGTAGGGATATCCCTGCTTGAGAAATACCATTTCAAAATGCAATGAAATAATGGAGAAAGTTAATTTTTTTGTGGTTTATTTATGTTTTTACGCATCGTAAAATGATGTGATTTTTATTAAAAAAAAAGTATTTCTTGCAATTTATGCAATTCATTATAAATTAGATGCAATCGGATAGCATAGTAGCGTGGAAAGGTAATTCAAAGCGAACAGTGAATTTACTTATCGATAAAACTTATATTAAGTTACGCGTGTCAAAAGAGATAACCGAGTTAAGGCGGCGGCGGATAAATCCAGTTGATGTTGGCCTCTTCGGCGAATTTGGAGAACAGCTTCGTCAGCTTGACGGTCAGCTCATCCTGGCTGGCTTGGGACAAGTTGCCGACGGCGTTGGCCCAGTTCTTCAGCACAAGGCCCGTGCTGCAGGTGGTCATGTTGATCTCGGGCACGAATCGCTGCGGTACAACTTCCAGAGTGGGCTCCGCCAGCGATTGGTTGAGCTGCTGCGGCGTGCGGACTTTGAGCTGGCCGTTGGGCTTCACCTGCTTATAGATCTCTGTCATGTGGCGGTAGTACTTGTGCCCCATCGTGCAGCGATGCATTGGGTCCGTGATCTTCAGGACGCGCATCTCGCGTAGAGCGTACTGCAGGCCCAGGCGGCATTCGGTCACTGCAAAGAAATAGCACAAAATATATATTAAGCGTATCGTTTAAGCCTCAATTTGATAAGATATTCAAACAAAAGCTATTTAGGTTGCAATCAATTCTAACACCAAAAGTTTAGGGCAGTCAAATTATTTAAAAACAAGAAAGAAAAGCTAACTTTGGGCGGAGCCGAAGTTGATATACCCTTGCAGAATATTTTGTAAATTATATTCTCCAAACCTTTTCATATGATGCATTCTTAATAATCATAAATAATCCCAACTTCCTAACTTTAAAAACACCAAATTTATGGCGTTTCCAATCGTTCAGTTATTTGGCAGCTATAGGATATAGTCGGCCGATCCTTATGAAATTTGGTATGTCGGATTGATTGGCCAAATATAAAACCCATAGAAAATCCCAACTTTCTAACTTTACAAACACCAAAGTTATGGCATTTCCGATCAATCAGTTATATGGCGGCTATAGGATATAGTCGGCCGATCCTTATGAAATTTGGTAGGTCGGATTGATTGGCCAAAGATAAAACCCATAGAAAATCCCAACTTCCTAACTTTACAAACACCAAAGTTATTGCATTTCCGATCAATCACTTGTATGGCGGCTATAGGATATAGTCGTCCGATCCTTATGCAATTTGGTAGTTCGGATTGATTGGCCAAACATAAAACACATAGAAAATCTCAACTTCCTAACTTAACAAACACTAAAGTTATGGCATTTCCGATCAATCAGTTGTATGGCAGCTATAGGATATAGTCGGCCGATCCCGGCCGTTCCGACTTATATACTGGGTGCAAAGGAAAGAAGGGTGTGGGCAAAGTTTCAATTCGATATCTTTAAAACTGAGAGACTAGTTTGCGTAGAAACAGACAGACGGACAGACGGACATGGCTATATCAACTCAGGAGGTGATCCTGATCAAATATATATATACTTTATAGGGTCTCCTTCACTGCGTTGCACACTTTTGACCAAAATTATAATACCCTCTGCAAGGGTATAAAGATCCCTTCAAATTTTTAATATAAGTTAGAGAGTCCAACTGCAGCAGAAAAGCAAACTTTTATCTCTGGAGTAAGTCATCGACTTTAATTTGCAAGCTAGTGTTACAAACCTGTGGCATCCAGCTCCTTTGAGACGCGAACCCAGGCGGTGCGCTTGTCGATGGTGCTCGCCCGCTCAAAGGTGTGCGGATGGCGGCGCAGGACTTGGGTCAGCTGGAAGGCCTCGATGGTGGGAAGAATGGAGGTGATGCGGTTCGTCTGAGGGACCAGTTCTTGGCCGGTGTCGGTGCCATTGGCCAACTGTTCTTTCTCTTTTGGCGCTTGCTTGCCTGCGATAGGTTCTGTTGCGGGTGCTTTTGGGGGCACGGGATTGTTGTCAGGTACGGGAACTGGTGAGTCGGTGGGTGCTGGGGCTTGGGCGTTGATATTCAGCGCGAAGGCGGCTGCCGAGCTGCTAGGCCGACTCAACTGGCCGGTGAGCATGCGCTTGGCCTCCTCCGTCTCCCAAGGCATCGGCTCCTTGGAGAGGCGCGCCAAAAGGCTGATGGGCGTGGGCCTGCTCTTGTCGGCAGGATCGGCGGACATCAGGGCCTCGTACATGCTGCAGCGCTTCACCTCCTCAGAGATCTTGTTGTGCACAATGTAATAGTACGGTTCGAGCGGATGGTAGCGCACGTAGGCCAGGAACCTGAGCTGCTCCAATGCCTGCCACCAGTTCTGTGGCCAGGGATTTTCGATCCCGCGCTCCAGGTCTTCCATATACGTGCGGAAGGCGAACTTGAACATGGACCAAATATCGCGATGATTGACTGCAAGACGGCAGAGAATAATCGATGGGGGACAACTAGATGGGTGGGATCACCAATGGAACTTACGGTTGGGAAACTTTACCCTGGCCTCGCGCCACACCTCCTGGCGCTCCTGATCCGTGTATTGGCGCGGAGCTGGCGCCATTTCGCCAGGTCGCGGCTTCTGGAGCTCCCAGTACAGGTGTTCATGCTTCCGGAAGTGGCGGATCACATCCGGCAGCACGTCCTTGTGTTCCATCCACATATACTTGCGCGCTATTTCGTCGAACTTGCTGAACAAACGGTGCGACTTCTCCCACACCTTCATGCTGCCCTTGAACGGACGCATCAGTTCCGACATCGGTGCGATCAGCGGGAACACACTCATGTTGTCAGCCAGATAGTTCCAGCAGGCGCGCAAAGCTTCCTCTGAAAAGGATTAAGATATATATAGAAGTTGAAATGTAGTGTCACTATCCTATATATTGATTTTACATAGTTGAAAAACAAATTACATATAATGAAAAAAAAAAATATTAAGAATAAAAAAAAAGAAACAAAGGCATTTCTAGGAATCCAAAACCAGGATAATAAAGGAACGAAAATACAAGCTAGCATCGGCAAGCCGATGTTTTTATAACCTTGAAATATATATTACAGCTATAGGTTATAGTCACTTCAAGGGGCTGATCGGAAATTATATAAAACCATCATATATGTAGAAATGTAAATATTTTTGAAAGATTGAAGATACACTTACCTGGCATATGGAACTTCTTGCCGATAACCTTCCAGATCTCATTACTCTTCTCGGTCAATTGCGGATCTTTCTTGTGCAGCTGTGGCACAGCCATCACCTCGCGGATCAAGGTCGCCGTCCTGACCATATTGAGATTGTAACGTGTGGCCAGGTTGCCGCCCCAAATGTGGAGCAGGTTCCCAGTGGCGGCACTCAGCTCCAGGTGCACCATAATTTCGTCAGCGCAAATCTCCGACTGAATGCTGCCGGACGTGGTTGGTTCTTTATCGGGCTGGGATACTGATATTGCTGTCGGCTTAGCTGCTGTCTTTGCATTGGTGACTGCTTTTACATTGGCAACTGTTGCTACTGTTGGAATGGTTGCTGTTGGGGCTGCTACTGTTGCTTCTCTTGGTGCATCCGATATGGCTTTGACTTCTGTATCCGCAGTGTCCACTGTTTCAGATGCAGCTGATGTTGCAGCTGTAGCTGTAGCTAATGTAGGTAATCTGGCAGATGGAGCTAATGTTGCCGGTACAGTGCCAACTGTTGCTGGATGTGTTAAAGTTGTCGGTGTGGGTTCTGCTGCAGGTTTACTTGCCCTGACTATGCCAGGTGGTGCAGGTGCAATTGGTCGATATTTTTTGTTCAAATCTGCTAGTGTAATTGACGAAATCCATTTTGAGGTTGCTGCTGTTGCTTTGACGATTGTCGGATCTTCTCTTGATGCAATAGTTGCTGCTGCTGCTGCAGGCGCCAATGTTGCGCCACATTTGCCGGCCGGAGAGCCATTTTGTACGGCATCCCATCCGCTGCTCAATCCCGGCTGATGGATCCGAACCATTGGAGTCCCAGTTGCCGATGAAATGCTGCTGCTGGAAACAGTATTCGACGGTATTTTGGTAACCAAAGTGGGTTGAACTGGAGCCGGTTTCAATAACGATAGCGGATTCTGCGGCACTGGTTTGGAATTCTGCGGTACGAGTGGCGGTTCGCTTAGCAACGCTCCCAGCGTCGACGGTTGGACAGGTCGCTGCATTGGTTGCCCGGTGGCAGTTTGTGGAATTGGATTCTGGTTGGGAAGGTTCACCGCTCGGATAACAGCCCCCGAGAGAGGCGGCGCAATCGGCAGGATATTGGGCACACGCTGCTTGGGCCTAACCGTCACCTGCAGCCCGGGTCGCTGAGGTATTGGACGCACTGCGCCTGGAGTGGCATTAGACGCGGCCAGCTGAATGCTGGCGGGGATGGGGCCCAGGCCAATACCCAAGGCGGCCTTCGTCATTTGCGCAAGCCCTACACTGTGCGGCAGTTTCACGGGCACCATGTTGGCCGGTGCCGCTGTCCTTGGCGAAATGCCTACGATGGGCGGCAGCTTTATGGGCACTATGCTGGCGGATGCCACACTAATGGCAGATGTTATTTTGGGGATCACAAACGAGGGAACAGATGACTCGGAGGCCACACTCGAACTGAGACTGGTGGGCGTGGCGATGGCTGGGCCAGAGCTGTTCCTGATATTAGATATGATGGGACCAGTGTTCGTGCCACTGCTGCTGGTGGTATTGCTGCTGCTGGTGGTGCTGCTGCTGGTCGTACTGCTGCTGGTTGTAATGCTGCTGCTTCCTTTCGAGGCGGGCGGGTAGACAATGGCCAGTGGCAGCCGCGCAACGGACGGCGTAGGCTCCCCGACCTGCATCACGGCCCCGTTGTGGGGGCGTTTGTAGCCGCGACGAGGCGTGCGGCTGGCAATCTGCTTGAAGATGCTGCTGAGCGCGTTCTCGAAGTACCACTTGTCCTGCAGCTGGTAGCCTGCCAAGCGCATGGCTTGCAGTTCGTTGTGGAAGGAGCGCAGCACCAGCCAGGTGACCTCGCAGCGCTCGTAGCTGCACATCACCTCGCGGCCGACCTTTTTCCAGAACTCGTCGTAGCGCGGCGGCTTCAACTTGAAGGTCAGCCAGTCGTCCGTCAACTGGACCAGATCGGGCATGTTGCGCATCGTGTTGATCAGCGACATCACGCTGCGGAAGTGCTCGATGGGCTCGTGCCAGTCGCTCTGCAGGTACTTGGAGGCCTTGCACACGGTGCCGCGCAGGCGCAGAACATGCGTGCGCAGGAAGTCCATCAGCTGGCACAGCTCCGAGCTGCTGCACTGGTCGGGACGATGCCACAGCTCCCATTCGTAGCGCGTCACCAGCTTCAGCCAGCTCTTCATCAGCTTGGTGGCCTTGTCGTGAAGCTCGTTGGAGATGGCGCCCCAGATGAGACCGCGATGGCGAGAATTCTCATAGCCAGGATACTGGGGATCGTACAGCTGCGGGTAGGGACGCACAGCCTCTATGAGGCGGCGATGCTCATTGGTGCAGCGGTAGTTGTAGGCAGACTCCTCCTCGAGATCCACATCAATGATGTCCAAGGGCGGCGGTTCCACGAACTCTACTTCGGCCATGGTCTCTGTCTCCGGGTTACTTTCCGCGGCCTCTGTTGGCTGTATCTTCTCCACCATCACCGGGTATATGGCCACATGAGGGTAGAGGAAGAGTAGCTCTTCCTCGTGCCTAATACGCGGACGCCGGCGCAGTGGGGTCTTGCATTGGGCGGCGCTCCGATGGAAAGATCGCAGGCAGCGCACATGGCGCTGGAATCGGTACCGCAGCTCCGCCCAGGCTACCAGGCAGTTGGTCAAATCCGTGTCCAAGTGGTGGGCAATCCGCTGCCAAAGTTTCTCCCTGTGGACATCGTCTTTGAATTTCGGATGCCGGGTGTCATACAAAGACGGCTCGCGGCGCACCAAGGCAATGAGCTGCCTCTCCGTCGCGCAGCTCAGCAGGATGTGATCTTGCCCGGGTCCAAGTATCCGGTTGAACGGATTAGTGGACACATCCTTATCCGACTCCGGGGCTCTCTTTTTACCAGCTGCCAAGGGAAGACAGGATGTTAGTTTTTATGACAAGATGACCAACGGGTGGACTTACCATTGAGGATCAGCGGATTGATCTCGTCCGCTGGACTTTCGTCCACGGTAATGACCTCCTCATCCATGTCGATATATGACTATTGACAATCCAATCCTCTGCGAATCTCCGCCGCTTTTCTGCTACAAAAGACGCGGATAGTCCTCGAATCGGACAGAACGGTGGCCAATCCGCTGTAACCACCACTATATCCACACTGTAGGGAATCCAAATCACTTGCCGATCAGTACGGAACAATCTGGATATGCCGCCCGTCAAGTTAGCGTTGTCAGATTCCCCGAAAAGCGGGTTTTTCGACGCCAGAAAGTCGGCGTTTGCTAAAAGCAATTTGCTGGCTGGGCACAAACTATCAACCACCGTTGCCAGACCTGTTAGCTGTCAGACGATATTTTTATCCCCGTCTGGCAACGAAGAACAGCCAAAACAACAATGGCGGCCTTCGGCGACATGTGAATGGCAACCACATTGCTTATATTAGTTTAAATGTAAACTCAAAAAACAAGTCCAATCTGGATTAAAGCCACTAACACCATTTAATCAATTGCTAGCTGTGCTTCGAGTAGCTGGCGGGCTTGCCAGACTTCTGTGGACAGTTCTGCAGCAGTTTGGCAGCGATGTCCGACCAAAACAGCAATGGCGACTTGCGGTGACATGTGAACGACAAAAAGCTGGGTGAGTTGCGTAAAAATATAGGGATGGTATGTCTGAAAACAATCTATTTATCGATTAATGCGATTAACTAATGTTAACCTTCACCGACCGGTTACAAAAAATTTGAGTAATCTAACCCAACGGAGTCTACTGGTTTCGATTATCTTAGACATTTAAGGCCTACAAGTACACAAAGGGGACACACATTAATTTTATCCACCCTTTCAGAAGTGCACACAAAATTTTTAGGTTATGGAGAATGTGCAGATTTTCGACATGCTTTAAGGAAATTTAAAGGAACAATGATATTATAAGAGTGACATAATTCATTGTTACGTATTAAAGGCATCAAAGGAATATCAAAAACCACCACAAAACGTCCAATCAACAAAATTGAAGAGCAAATCCAAATTGTGCTCCATCTTATAATAACCAATCAGACAGCTCAACCACTGAACTAGTCGATCTTTTATGATATCTATACCCCTATCCCACAGAGCTCATCGGTTGGAAGTTTTTACATATATGGAACACAGTGACGGAATCTGAATTTTTTGAAGGAGGTCCTTAAACTCTAATACTGTTTTGAAAAAAGAAAAAAGCTAAGATGGTGAATGGTAGATGTGTGATCTGCGCAAACAGGCCTTCACTAGTTGTCTCTAATGGATCCACATAGCGCATAAAATAGTTCGGATACTGGAGCGAAGGACCATACTTTAAGCAATGAAATATTTTGATAGCTTCTCGACTTAATCTGATATAAAGGACTAGGACACACATATTGCATACCCCATCACAGCGAACTAGAGTATTATTTCAATCAACTCAACTTCAAATCGTATTGAATTTCGTTTACTACTGTCTAGGCTTATAACAGACAAATAAAGTATGAATAAATCCCAAGGATCTATATCATCAGTTAAAACCAAATCAACTGAATACAACTGGAAACAAAAGAGTACTACAGTATACAGAAACTAACTTATTTTTTCATTTTAAGTGTTAAGTTCAGCATTAAAATAGTTTCCAACCAAAATAAAGACTCTACCCCCTGATCTTACCCTGTTTTTTGACTTGTCTTTAATAAATAAGCTTGCCAAAAATGATATAGTCGGCTCAAGTGGGTCAGAAAGCTCTAGTGTAATACATATTTTCATGTAATGTAGGGACAACATCATTGATATTGTTCAATGGCCTTCCAAAATCCAAACTGCCATCCACCACATAAAAATATACGTTTCTAACCTTACATTTCTATGAGATACATAGCTGTTGAGTTTTGGGAGGTTCACACTCCCCGGGCAGCCGTATTTAAATAGAATGGTTTTAAGGTAAGACTGTAATCAATATCTCTTGGTCTTTTTATTAAGGCACAAGCAGGGTAAAGTACAGATTAATAGTTAAAATCCCCAACATCCGTGGTGGATGTGTAAGGGCTTAGCGATAATCTCTGATCAGTGATGGACTGGTAAACTTTGACTGAATAAGTTGTTGTGCTAAGCGATCTACTTTTCTTAAATTTCTCTTGACACTTAAAAGAATCGTTCATTGATCACTGATCATGTCAGTGTGAAAACCTTATTGCAAATAAACATGTCGGTGGCGGAGTTGGGCAGTGTGCAAAGTACTGAAGGTTGTTTGTCTTGCACTCGAGCATCTATTTTCCACACTCTGGCATCGCTGCACCAGCTGTGTTACCAGATTTATTCGCCCCGCTCTGGCAACGCTGCAGCCAATCAGCTGTTTTACCGGCCTGTTTTTCAACAAATGTTTTCATAACGCGCTTTTGATCGGCATTCAAATTTAATTGAATTGGTCAATCTTATCAGGAAGACTTAAACGAAGCCATGTGGACAAGGACGCACTGCCTCTGGCGCAGCGTTGGGCGTCTAAGCCGCCAACTGTGCACCACGAGCGTTTCGCAGGCGAGGATATTTGCCGATCGCGAGAATCAGTTCGCCCACGGCGTCCTAATGGACTCCCTGAAACCCTACCAGATCCTGCGGCCCAGGGACACCGGCTGGCAGGATCTGCCCGCCTCAGAGGGCTTCATGCGGCCCCAGAGCGACGCAAGTCCAGCGGATCTCTACGCGGACTTCCAGGGCCTGGTGAGGGACTGCGTCCGGCTGGAACTACAGGTCAGCGATGCCCGGTACGATGCCTTTGCCCGCTGCTACTGCGAGCAAATGCATCGCCTCACAGACGAACAGCTCCTGGGATCGCTGAGCGCCCTGGCCGAGCTGCCCACACCGGAATCGCCCAAAACGCACAACTACATGGAGCTGTGGAACACCATGGACATCGAGTGCTGTCGCCGCATCGAGCGCTGGTCCAGCGAGCAGCTGCTGCTCGTGAGCGACGCCTGGTACCGCCTGGGTCTGGTCAGGATCGGGGAGTACGTGTGGCTGGCCCTCAAGAAGCTGGGTCGCCGGCTGCGCAAACTGCCGCCAGAGCAGCTGGTCCACGCCATGTTCCTGTGCAACCTGCTGCGCCGCACCGTCTTCGAGATGTTCGACTTTGAGCTGAATCTGGCCCGCTGCGTGGACCAGATGACCCTTGGCGAGCTGGGCGTCATGGCCATGGGCTTTTTCAAGACACAGACACCGATTAGGAATCCGGAACTGCTAGCGCAGATCTACCAGCGGCTGGGCAGCGAACTAGACACCGTGGAGGACATTGCCCTGGTGGCGCTGCTCAAGGTGCTGCGCTACAGCAGCAAGCTGCCCCAAGTGGAGGCGCTCAAGCGGCTGCTCGTCGACCTGGAGCCGCAGGTGGAGCGCGTGTCGCTGCTCACCTGCCTGCACATGGCGCTTCTCGGCTGCGAGCTGCAGACCTGCAACGATGCGCTGGTGGAACGCATCCTGCTAAGATTCGAGCGGGAAGTGGAGACAGCCCGCCTGAAAGACATGGAGCGCATTTGCCTGGTAATGGCCCTGTTCAATCTGAAGAGCACTTCGGGGGTGGAGCGTCGCTTGGCGGAGCGGCTGCCCGACTTGCTGCGCCAGCGGATGGAGGAGATCCTGCGTCATCCGCGTTGCTTCACCAACTGCCTGCAGTTCCTCACAATGCGTGGTGTCTACGACCTGGAGCTGCTGGGCGTGGCCCTGGAGCCGCGCTTCGTGCAGCACGCCTACCGCAGCGGACTGCCGGGGCGGGAGTACTTCCACCTGGACGGATTCGTCCGTCTCCTGGGCGCCGATGAGTACCAGGGAGCGCTGCTCAGCGAGCGGCAGCGGCAGCAGATGGGCCGCCTCTACACGCAGTACATGCCCGAGCGGGACGGCCGCTTCAAGTTGACCAGCACCGATCGCATCCTGGTGGAGATTCGGGATGCGGTCTCCCAGCTCCACCGCGCCGTCACCTTCAAGCACATCCTGCCGCATTACGATCGATGCGATGTGGTGCTCTGCTACGACCACCGCCAGCGGAGAGCCGTGCCCTTGGACGCGGAGGCCTGCCAGGATTACAGTGGGGAGATTCTCACCCGCAGGCATCTGCTGGGCGAGAGCAGGGCAGCGGATGACCAGCTGGCCACCGTGGCCATCGTTGTTGCGGGCTGGAACAATGTGATCCGCGAAAAGGATCGCTTCACAGGACAAATGGATATGAAGCTGAGGCAGCTCCGGCAATTGGGACATCACCCGTTGGTGGTGAGTTCTTCTTTACCGAATTGAGTTACTAACTTAGGAAACACACATAATACTTTCACATAAATCCGGCTAACACTCCGTTTTATTCAGTTTTGTTGTCAATTATCCCAAATCTATAACTTTTATAGACGGTAGTTGTCCAGTAAAAAATATTATCGAGTATATAGATGGGCTTTAGTCTAAGATATTCTTCCTACTCACTCTTCCTTAAATTTGCACTGTCACAATATACCCTTTAAGGTTGACAGTCTTCTTTAATCAATTTGGTTTTTAAATACAAACATTAGTATTCCATGGGGTAAACCAAAACATGAAATTAATATTCCAGCTAGTAGCCATCCTTCATATTAAACGTAATGGGTTTGATTTTTAACTAGTTATGTATTTATTGGTAAAGATATCACAATGTATTTTGTAATATTTCCATGCGGGCTTAATAACTTAAAATCATTATTTATTCATCATCCTTTGACTCGTTTATTTATTACCAGATCTATTGGCACGAATGGCGGGAGCTGGAAACATCAACGGACCGCCAGGACTTCCTCAGACGTCGCCTCAGCCAAGTGGCCAAGATTTAGGACATCGGCCGCTTTCAATGAAGACTTAGCAGGAAAAAGAAGAGCATAAGACAAGGAAGGACAAACGGCAAACCCAAACGGCAATGAAAAACGGCAACAAATTGGATATTAGTCAGTCATTAGCATTATCTGAACATTGTACAGGCACAACACTACGATCTATTATTTATCTAGAAAAAATAGGAATAATTATCGAATATTTAATGATGACCGCCCGCGGCCACGCGCCAAAAGCCCACAACTACTAGCACTGCGTCTCGCTCCGGGATCCATTCGTTACCCGCTGGAGGAAGGGGTCGTCAGAGGGTGGAGCTCATCGCCCGCTTGGTGTACTCGTAGACCACGAACAGGGTGGCCGTCGCCGGAATGGTGCGCAGGACGGAGGGCAGAAGGCCGCGGTAGAGTGCCAGGACACCCTCGCGCCGGACTATGTCCGCCCCCACGGCGAACATGCTCTCGTTTAGGTTCTTCACCTGGATGCGGCTCTTGATCACGTCCGCCGGAAACGTCGATGTCCACAGACAGACGCCTCCAATGGCACCGGAGATCATGGTCCGCACAGGTCCGATTTCATCCTTAGTTTGATCCTCCCTGCCGAAGAGATAAAGATAATTGGAGGTTAATGAGTGCCGAGTTTACAACTAATAATTAACTAATATAGACGACTTCGAGTAATTAACTTTGAAAGTTCGACTGCTGTTTAATCATAACCAATTGCCTCAAGTCCAAAAAAGCTCTCAGTTGTTAAGTGAAGTTAAAACGTTGTTAACAATTAAGCCATTTGAGTTTACATCTGACTTTTTTTAGAATGTTATTTGTCTAGTTAAGAATTTTGTTAACCAATTCTTTTTTTTACGAAATATAACAATACTGCCAAGTACTATAAGTGCCTTAAAAACGAGTGTTACAATTTGGGGAAAACTAAGGTTAACATTGCACAATTTAATAAGTAATTATTCACATTGATTTGTAATTTCATACATTTTTCTGTTGTCCAGATGAATTTTATTTGATATATGAAATCAAATACATAATTATATATGTAGCGAATAGATTTTAGTATGATATATTTATTTTTAAAGAATCCATTGTAATAATTTACTTTATTTATATAAGGTTTAGGATATATGCTCATGATATACTCACCTTCGCAATAATTCGCGTGTGCCTTCGTAGCTGCCAAAGAAGAAGAAGTAGCCGGGCATCTCGCGGATAAATGTGGAGCTCAAACCCCGATAGAACCCTCGAATGCCTGTGGAGGAGATTGGTTAGAGAGTCTGGAACTGGCAGGGATGGAGATTGGCACGTGAGGATGCAGCCTATCTCGGAATGGACCGACATTGGTCAATGGCGAAGCGGAAACGTGATCCATTGATCTGCCGACTTGCGGCTGTCAATCGCGAAGCGTTTCAGTAAATTTCCACTTGACTGATAGTGGCTTAACCATGTGCATTATCCACAGCTGCACTTCCCACATCCCCTTTCTCCGATCTAAAGCTGTATATGTATATATATGTATATGTATATGTATAGCTATCTCTACGTCACTGTGCGTGGCATGTTCTGAACTGCGGGGCTACGGCTATGAATAGTCTTATCAGCTCTCATAGTAATCCCTAATTCGCTTTTCGCAATCTGCGTAGTAAATACTCAATATTTATGTTTTAGAAAATAACGAATCCCGGCCCAAGGGAGGAATGGCAGCCTTCTCATGATTGATTAGATTTGATTAGCGTTATTAGTTATTGCAAAATTCATTACTTGACTGGCGTTTTATAGCCTTAGCTATTTTTCCATGGCTTATGCTTCCTGTTATTGAGTTTGAGCATAAAATTTCAATCATACTCAAAAAACATGGTTGCTAAAGAATTATTTAAACAATTTCTTAGCATCAGGTAATTACAGGTGTCCAAATAGGCAGAATTGTGGAACTAACTTTACATTATTACAAAGTAACTGAAAGACAAATTCTAAACTTCATACAATAGACATGAGCGAATAGCTTTTTTTCAAATTGTCTAATTTTTTGTGCGGAGATTAAGATTCAGACATCTTTGCCCATAAAAAGTTTATATTTCCTTGATCTGTGACCTCAGACTAGTTTTTATGGGCATTTACGTCTGTTCCTATGGTCTTTACTTTGCTAAGTTTCAAATCCAAATCTTCTATTATTTGTTCGTCTATAAAGCCAAAGATTTTTGTGATCGTATTACCTTGGGAATCATAAAGTAATTTAAGTCAGTTAATGTTGAACGCCGAGGTTGTGCTGATGTTGTGGTTCATATTTTATTGCTTTTCAGAATTAAGCTTTGTAATTCAATCAGCAAGTGACTGAAAACCGGAGCAAATCGAAATGCTCTGAGAGTCAACATGAAATTTTAAGCACTAGGTTGCCAACAGATATTTAAATTTTTGTAATTACTTGCTGAAGTAGTAAAAAGGAACGAAAAAATATTCTGGCTTAAATGCAATCATCTTTAAAAACAAAAAATATGAATTAACACTATCGGATAAAGTCGAGCGATCCAAACATTTAAATTTGCTTTGCTAAGGTATAAAATATAATGATTTTGAAACCGATTAAGGCAAGAAAATTAAAACATTGTCAAATAATTAAAAATAAGCTAAGTAATATTATGATATTCTTTGCATGATCAAAACATTTTTTGGAAATATTTTCTGTTTTGAAAATATTCAAATTCAAAATTAAATTTAACTGCGCTATTGCCCATTTGGTGAAAGTGATCTCCACCGGATCCGGCAACTCCAAGTGATCCCCAACCATGTGGGATCGTTCTCTTGTTGTATGGGTGTCATCCGTATCGGTGTTTATATCGCACACTGCGATGCGATAATTGTGAATTATTAGAAGAAAAAGATCGCCGAAAGCCACGAGGAGATAATCTAATCGGAGCACTTGAGGGTCGAACATAACGATAGCAATCCCGATTCCCCAAGGCTACGCCCTCAAAATTCAGCGAAAAATGCGTTCATTATGGATATGAATGTGTCAATATGCTGAATTAATGTTTTTATTTACTTATTACTAACTACAGTGCCCATTCGCAACAATGAACTGAAAGAAACCCTTACTACACGAGCAGAAAAAATTCCTTAATTTGAATTTAGGAGAATTTACGAATTCTATTAAAATCACCCTTTCGAAAGTTCTCATATTCGGGTGCATGTATTCACAGTGATTTGGAAAAAGTGATTATTAACACTGGAAAAAACACAAAGGACTTAAATTTGGAAATATAAATATTTGTTGATTATTAAGAAAATGTACCATCAAGTGTCTTGTCTTGCCCTTAAGATTGGCTTTCCACTTATTCCACATTTAAAAAAGAAAAAATAATGGATTTGTGTATAAAAAATATTTATATTTGAGTAAATCAAAGAAAAGATAATAAATTAGCGTTCAATATGATTAAAACATGATTACTATTAAAATGTATTTTCACTTGTTTGGAAGCAGGCCCTATTTTTGGTATAAAAACAATGAAAATAAACGCATTTAACAAGTTTCTTAAAAAATAAGTGTTATCCCCCCATCGTTATCAGTTTCACTTGGTATTTGTAAATGATGAAATTTCCCTAATTCCCGTTATAATATCATTAAATCCCCGCTTAAAAGTATTCAGCCACTTTACGATATCGTAATATAGGGGTACTCACCCTCCGTTCGCCAGATGTACCGCGTTAGCGTCCAGGGCGTGCGCATGTCCTCCGGATGGGCGGGCTCCACGAAGTGCTTCATCTCGCGCAGCCGCCTGCAGCTTGCACTTGATCAGCTCGGTGGGGCAGAGGGTGAGGGTGGAGAAGCAGGCGGCCAGGGAGCCGGCACAGGCGTTCTCCACGGTGGTCAGCTCGCTGGAGGTCTCCTTGCCGACAAAGAAGGCGACGAATTTCTGGCAACCGCCGTAGGCAGCGAACAGCACGGAGTTCTCCGCCACGTTGGCGAATACGGCCGGAACGGATCCGGCGTACAGGCCGCGCATGAAGCCATCCTTGCGGTAGGTGCTCACAAAGCAGTCCCACATGCCGCGGTACACCTCCGGGAAGGTCTGCAGCTTGACCTTGACCGTGTCGAGGGGCTGCGAGACATATACCTGGGCGGCCCCACCAATGGAGCCTGCCAGGAAGTCGATCAGCCCCTCGACGAAGTTGATGTTGTTGCCGGTACCGCCGCCGTGCATGTCTAGGCGTCGAACGAAACGCAGGAATCCGCCGACCACGAACAGCAGACCGTCGCGTACGGCCCTCAGCGTCGATTTCACACTGATCGGCCTGCTCAGCCAGCCGTTGTTTTTGCCTTTGCCTTTGCCGTCGCGCTTCTGCTCGCCGTCGGCCTCCTCGTCGTCCCCCTGCCCCTCCTGCGGGGGCGGTACGATAGGATAGGGTTGTCAGCGTTTGGTTACACATCGCCTGCGAATCGATGGCGTGTTCCCAATTCCACTTCGGGAAACTAAGATCACAAGTGGACCCTATACATATAACATCTTAGGTTACCACGGAGAGTGGCTTTCAAATGGTTCTTAATTTAATATTTTTAAACTATTTAAAGTGAATTTGAAACAATTGTTTATGTTTGTGTTAAATGGGTCCTAACTGATATTCAGAAATATCTCGTATTTGTTCTTATGAAAACTAGAAAAATATTTGAATTATACAGACTACAAATTGTTTACCTGTAAAATTGGGAACAATTGGACATTTTCGTATTCGCACAAAACTTTTCAAAATATTTAAGCCATACAAAATTTAAGACTGAATAATTTTCTCTATGTTTATAAAAACAACTATTTGAACCTGTATAACCATGGAATTAAGTAAGGAAATCGGGTACTCTTTAGAAATACTTTTTCTTAAATAGCAAATATTATTAAAGTTTTTGAATTTATTATTTTAAAATAATTAATAAATAGTGGGCCTTACAAATTTAAAACAGTGTACATTGTATATGTTCCAAAATAGTTAGTTAAATTATCTAAATGGTTGATCAAATCATGAATTGTTGATATATTTATTTTACCTTTATTGCTATAATTGAATACATTCTAAATAGTTCTCTCTTCGGCTTTTCTGTGTTTTTGAAATTATTAAAATGATCATAAAATAATCAAATGAAAATCATTCTTACTACAATTTAATCAATTGGAAAATATCGGTAATTCACTTGTTCTAAAATCATAAAAATGATCATCGAATCATGAAATTTGAATCCAATCAAAATGGCTATCATAGTGATAATTAAATCATTATCACTTTGATTTTTTGATCGAATGCAATGTATAGATCGATTTTCTTCATTTTAAAATCATTAAAATGATCATAAAATCATGAATTTCGAATCAAATAAAAATGTCAATCATTGCGATAACTTAATCGAACTAAATATGTCGATAGGATTTCGATGTTTTCGACAACTCTACCTGCAGGGCGCGTTCGTAGGCCTCGATGATTTCGTCGGGCGTCATTATCAGTACGCTGCTGCCCGCTTGACTGCTGCCGATCCGCGGGGGTGAGGGGGGCAGGGGTTCGTCTTCGGGTGCGGGTTCGGGTGGAGCTTGGGGCAATGCCGGTTTTTTCGCCTGCCGCTGTTTGATCGTTTGCAGGGGAAGGGGTGGCTGAAGCGGTACGGTCTCTGCCGACGGCTGCTGCTGCTGCCGCTGCTGTCCGCTGGCTCCTCCATTATCGCCATTGTTGTTGTTGTTGTTGGGCGCTGTGGCGCTGGCGGTGTCCCGCTCGCACTCGCACTCGCGCATGGGGATGGGAAAGGGGATGGGGGTGACACTGTTGCTATCCCTGTCTAACCCCTAGGCGAGTGATTTGCGAGGTAAAACGACAATTTTGTATTGTATTGTACTGTTTTGCGACTGTTAATGAAAAGCCAGAGGATTTGATTTCCTTTCAAATAATTGTTCGATTTACGGTTTATTAATAATCGATAATTTGATTACGCCATATGCATATATATAGGTGTATACATATCATGTGGATCAGCGATCTCTCTCCCCTTATCTCTCTCTGTATTTAAATATGTGTGTGTGTGTGAGTGTGTGTTTCACTTTAATATTTATTATCATGGGCTTTTATTTTCGGTATGTGGTGTATATATCTCGTTTCATTATGCGGTATTTCCTCCCATTTATCGCCTTCAGCGCTCTTATATAAATTTAATAATTTACATTAAACCATAACTTAGTTATACAAATACCATTTAGTACAGTTATGGGTAGTTTATATCGATATATAGCCCCTATACCATACTGGATACGCATTATTTATAATTTAATAGTACAAAAAAAAGACTTCGAAGTTTCGAACTCATTCCGTTAAGTGTTAAGATGCTTGAGCTAAGTTCCTGATCGGTCGCGTATGTCTACATATATCTGCTTTACATACAATATATAGTGTGAATCGTGTTGTGCCTTTGGATCGCTGAGTTTGCATACACTGTTGTGGGCGTGGTTGTGGGTGTGGGTTGGGGAAAAGCTGAAGAGCATGGGGGGAGGGGGGATGGGTTTATAGGAAAGCCGAATTTGGAGAGTTTCCGTCCTCTTCTAACACTTTGTACTCGTTTATATGCATTTATTTTCACTTGGTGTAAAAATATTATTATCAACATCGTTTCCTATATCATTTACCTTTTTCTATCCAAACTCAGCGGCGAATTTTGCGTTTAAAAAAATTTTCGCATCAGGCTTATGTTATTTATGGTTTCCTATGTTTTCCATTGCATTCATATCTGCGTTTCCGTATATATATATTTATATTTATTATAATTATGCTTCCTATACAACTATACATATTTAATATTATTGTGTACAAATACAAAATCGGCATGAAAGCCGTCGAATGTCAGAGAAGCAAATCAAAATTTACACTTAGACGTATTGGCACACATTTCGAAATTCAAATTCGAGCGGTTTTGGGGCATGTTAATTGAGTTTCAGAGGATTCAGTAAAATATTTAAAATGCAACGATTTTTTGACTATTTAGGAATTTTTTAGTATAATTCGCAGTACATTTTTCCAAGGAATATAAGTGAAAGGGAAATTTGTGTTTTGTTCAAACGAATCGTAAAAGTTTTTAAATAACTCGAATGAATTGTGAATGATTTTAATTGAGTTGTTGTATGATTCGTATAAGGCATTTACAATTTCGTTAAAAAAAATTGGTTTTAATCAAATTATATTATCAATAAATATAGTCAATTCAATGTTTATTTCAGAATGACACGGTATTCGAAAAAAAAACAAATTAAAGTTTTGTAATGTTTAATTAAAACATTTGTAGTTTAATAAATCGTTAAAAAACATTTTAATTTAAAAAAAATTAACGAATTCTTGTATACCATTATATTTATTTTTACATAGATGCATTGGAAAATGCATTTGATAATGCATTAACTAAATAGGAAATGCTTCTTTAACTTGAAATCTATCAATTTGCCTTAACACACTGTTCAACTTTTTTGCAAGTAGAACTTCTTTGGAAAATACATTAGCTAAATAAGTGGCTTGCATTAAGTCTTCTTTATCTTGAAATCTTTAAATTTTCTGCATATTTTTGATTTTTTTTCATGGTATCTAGTGGAAATCCCTTGGAATATGATTTTACTGAAACAGGGGAAACTAAACATAATTTTAAACTACTCGATTTCGCTGGCGCGGATCGGGATGTCCCATGGTCATATCCCACAAAGTGCACTTTAGCCCGGACTGGCGCCCACAAAGCCGCGCCCCTCCCGCCTCCATTAGTAGTAGGCGGGGAAGGGGTGGTAGTTCGACGGATTGGAGGCGTGGTGATTGGCGGATGGCAGGACAGGTGGTGGCCTCACGCCCGGATGGTAATTGCTGGACGCCACCTGGTGGTAGGCCCCGAAACTCCTGGCCATGTGACGATTTTGGGCCACCGCCGCCGCCGATTCACCAAGGAGTCGCGACTGATCCGCCGTGCCCAGCAGCCGGTTGTTCTGCTCCATCAGCAGATGGGCCGTGGGATCGACGAGGAGGCGATGCTGGTCGGCCGCATTCGAGGCGGCCAAAATGCGATGCTGCTCCACCGTCGACAGCAGACGATGGTGCTCCAGACTCTCGCGACTCTGGTGCTGCATCTGCGAGGAGAGGAAGGAGCGGTTGTTGCCCACCGCCATGTTGGCCGTATTCGGGGTGAGATCCAGCGAGGCCATGCGCAGCATGTCGTGGTGCGTGGGATGGTTGTAGGGCAGCTGTGGCGGCGACGACACCACATAGTTGGCGGTGCGACTCAGGTCCACCGAGGTGGTCTGGTCGTGCTCCTGCTCGCCCAGCTGCTCGCTGAGCATGTTGTGCATGGCGGCCGCCGACTGCTGGTGCTGCTGCATGGCGTGGTGCTGGTGTCCGTGCTCCTGCTGGTGCACCACCGAGGCGGCGCCCGCCCCACCACCACCTCCTCCGCCTCCACCTCCGCCGCCTCCACCTCCTCCTCCTCCGCCGCCGCCGCCGCCCACCACCGAACCGCCAGCCTGCTGCGCCTGCTGGCTCTGCTGCTCGCGATCGGAGAGGATGTCGTAGATGTGGTGGTGGTAGCGACTGCTCGGCAGCTGGAAGTTGTGGTGGTAGTTGCTGCTCGCCGCATTCGACCGGGAGCTCATGTCGAGGCCCTGGAGGTCGGAGAGGTCGTTGGCGGCACTGGCCGCCGCTGCTGCCGCCGCTGCCGCGCTGGCCGCCGCCGAATTGAGCCCATTGCCGCCGCCGCCCGCCTGGCGGTACTCCGCCGGCGAGTCCAGCTCCTGGCTGTTGTACTTCAGGTTGCTGGCCATGCTCTCGTACTTGGAGTACATCAGGTCGATCTGCGACTGCGGGAACTTCATCCGCATGTCCTGGCCGGCGCTGCTGCAATCGCATTAAGTCGGGCAAGTATTAGATACAATATACAGTCTTGTCTTAGCTTTTGTGCAAAACGCAGAATCAAATTGGTAACTCAAAATAAAATATACTTCTTTTCTACAGCATTGAATTTCAAGAAAAGGAAATAAAACGACGGGTGGTTTTAAATCCCCCATTATTAAATTTTTAAATCTCTTCATATTCTTAAAAAGCGACTCATTTTCTACCTCGAAAATTCATCATTTCCAAAAAGGTAGTTAATTTCTACAAAACCAAAACTCACAAAAATACATGTTCTATGTTGAGTGAAATTAAAAGTAAATTTGAATTAAATTAAAACAAACCAACTTAACGAAAAAGAACAATAAACAGAACCGGTTTTTTATTAAGTATACGCCGAGGTGTCACTTCCGTGAAACAACTCAGAGCTTTTTTTTTTTTCTTATATATCATATATTTTATTTTTATACGTTAATCAGCCAATTAAATGGCTTTAAAATGTAGGGACTAGAAAAAGTAACAATCATAATATGGAAAACATAACAGCAGTGATAGAAATCAATATGTTTTTGACTTTAAAATTAACAACTCAGAGCAGAAAAAAAGTATTTATAATTTGTGAATACATTTAAATGAAAAGGAAAAACAACAAACTTAACAGTATCAAACAATCAACGCATCCAGGTCGTGGAATCTTCACCTGTTCTGGGGCATTATGCTGTTCTCCTCGTCGCTGGACATCTGGTTGTGCCGCGAGATGTTCTGCCGCTGGCGCTCCTGGTGCTCCTGCTCCTGGACCGCCCGCTTGTGGCGCATCATGTCGCCGTTGAAGTTGTAGCGCGGAATGCTCGGCGAGGAGGCGGGCGAGATGAGCTCGTGCTCCGGATAGGTGCTGCCCACGCTGGAGGCGTTCCGCCGCTGCGGCTGGAGGGCGGGCAGTGGCGATGAGGCGGACATGCTGTTGGCCCCCCCCCCCCCCCCGCCGCCTCCTCCGCCACCGCCGCCGCCGCCGCCTCCTCCGCCGCTGGAGCTGCCCGCCGGCGTGCTGTTCGATCCGGGACCGCCTCCACCGTTGCCGGCGCCAAACATTCCGCCGTAATCGCGACCCGGCGATATGGGAGGGGGCGAGGGCGGGGTGCGGTGGTGCGAGGAGGAGAAGCCATCGGAGTCCGGATGCTGCGGACGCGGAGTACTGCCCGCGTCCACGTCCACGTCGTTCTGGTTCTGGTTGCTCTGCGGATTCGTCGGCGTGGAGGCGCTGGGCGATATATTGCAGGCGCCCTGGAACATTGGCAGCGGCGGTATCTGCATCGGGAAGCTGCCCAGGTTCTTCATCATCTTCAGCTCGTTCTCCAGGTTGTCCATGGCTCCGCCGATGCCCGTTCCGTTGGCCCCGCCCGACGATCCGCCGCTGCTCCCTCCTCCTCCCCCGCCTCCACCTCCTCCACCCGCTCCGCCCGCGCTGCCCGCTCCAAAACGCTGCGACTCGGGATCCACGTGGGCACTCATTGGACTGTCGCTGTTTATGTGGTTATCGGTGGGAACCTGCGGGGAATTACATGTTTTAGTATGGCTTGCAACGATTCCTTTGTAAACAAAACTAAAAGGGGCACTGGCATATTGGGAAATTAAGAAAAAGGCCACCAGATTGTGCTGCTTGATAGAAGCCGAAATTTATTCTGTAATTAAAATATATGTACTTTGAATTCAAAAAATACTCATTGAACTAGCGACTACAAGAATTGGATCACAAAATTCCACTCTGCTTGGCCAAAAAAAAACAACTTTGTTTTTGAAAAGAGTAAATATAAAAATATAAATTCAAAATCTTAAACAAATTACATTATATGATATGTACTTAGTATTTCAATAATAAATTGGTTAATAAAGTTTATATGATTTGTTTAGTGATTGGTAGGCGTTTTTTCTATAGAATGATTAATAATGCTATTTTTGTTAACTTAATTAATAATATTATATTTGAACCTTTAAGTTATTAAATACCAAAAACTTAACTTACAAATTTGGACTGAGTAAAGAGGCGTTCATAAATCAATGACGTTCGCAAAAATATACCTCTAAATAAAAATACAAACTTGTTTGATTTTATCATTGAATCCTAAATCGGATGCCTCCAAATTACCTTACTAAAGTCAGGAATATCTTTACGAATTACCAGGCATTTTCTTTGAGTATATGTGGGCATTATTTGTTAATTTTCCTCCACCAACTGGTGCACTCACCTTGAGGTCGCTGCTCTCGCTGTCAATCATATTGCCAACGGAGTTGAGGGCGGCCTCCACGAGCATGCTCGCCGAGGAGGAGCCGCCGCCCACGCCCACACCGCCGCCCACTCCGCCCACCACGCCCACGCGGGCATTGGCGTTGTTGTAGAAGGAGCTCATGAAGGACTGCGAGTGGGCCAGCGAGTTCATCTGCATCTGGGGCTCATCGCCGCCGGCCACCGTGCCGCCCGTCGCCGGACCCGTCGGCGTTTGTCCGCCGCTGCCGCCGCCCCCGCTGCCACTCCCACCGCCCCCGCCGCCACCGCCGCCGCCCGTGCCGCCCCCATAATGCGACATGGCCGCAGCTGCAGCAGCGGCGGCCGCGGCGGCGGCATTATTATTCGACTCGACGACGTCCAGGAAGGAGCTGTTCTCGTCCTCCTCGCGACTGTGGGCGCTGTGCTGGTGCTGCTGGTGCGGCTGGTGGGCGTGTGCGTGGGCGTGGGCGTGCGCATGGGCGTGGGCATGGGCATGAGCGTGGGCGTGGGCGTGGCTGGCGCTGGCGCTGCTCATCAGGCGGGCGAGGAAGTCGCGGTTCTGGCCTAACAGCTTGCTGTGCTCATCGACGGCGCTCGGCGGCACGGCGAATCCCAGATCCGCGCCCGGACCACCACCTGGTCCACCGCCGGATAGTTGACCGCAGGCACCACCACCGTCGCCCGGACCACCTCCACCGCCGCCGCCCGTCCCCTCGCCGCCGACATCGCTGGCTTCCTGCACCTCCTGGATCCACTTCTTGCTGCCCTTGCTGACCACCAGATTCTGGCCGAGAGCGGCGTTCATGGCCGCCGCATGGCGGTAGTCCTGCTGCCCCGCCCCCTGGGCGGCGGGATGCTGGTGCGGGTGGGCGTGCGAGTGGGAATGCGAATGCGAGTGGGCGTGGTGCGGATGGGCATGGGCATGGACGTGCGAGTGGTGTGCCTGGTGGGCGTGAACGTGCGGATGATGTTGCACCGCCGAACCACCACCGCCTCCGCCGCCATCGTCGTCGTCCTCGTCGTCGTCCTCCTCCTCGTCCATGCCCACGCCCACGCCCACGCCCATGTGGCCCATCATGTGGCCCAGCTTGGCCGGATCCTCGCCAGCGCCGGCCATGGCGGACACCGCTGCAGCCGCCGCCACCACCTGTTGCACCTGCTGCTGAGCACTCAGCCGCTGGGCGGTGGTGGTCAGGAAGGACTCCACCAGGCTCAGCTGGGCGTTCTGCTTGCGGCGCACCTGCTCCAAGCGGGCGTTCTCCACTTCCTCGTCGTCGGGATCGCCGTGCAGCTGCTGCTGCTGTTGCTGCTGTTGCTGCTGCTGCTGCTGTTGCTGCTGCTGCTGCTGCTGGTGGGGCAGGGCGTGGCCGTGCAGCTGGTGGGGATGGTACTGCGGGTGCTGCTGCTGCGGATCGTGGTGCAGCTGCTGGTGTTGCTGGTGGTGGTGGTGTTGCTGGGCGTGTTGCTGCTGCTGCTGGGCATGTTGCTGCTGCAGCTGCTGGTGCTGCAGCTGCTGGGCGTGTTGCTGCTGGTGTTGCTGCTGTTGCTGCTGCTGTTGCTGCTGCTGCTGCTGCTGGAGGAGGTGTTGCTGCTGGGCCGACGCACTTGGCTCCTTTTTGCGCTTCCGCTTGCGACCTCCGCCGCCGCCGGTCGAGGAGGCCGCTCCGGAAACGGAAACGGAGATGGAGGCGGCCGAGGCGGACGTCACCGAGGACGGCACCTTGTCGCCAAAGATGCTGGAGATCTTGGAGCTGAGCAGCGAGAGGTTCGGCTCGTTGCGGCAGAGGTCCTTGATGGACTTGCCGCTCTTCTTGATCGCCTCGAACAGGTTGTCGTCGCTGAACTCGGCGTCGCTCTGCAGCGAGCCGCTGAGCATGGAGCTCTGGTCCTCGAGGCTCTTGCGCCGCCGGCGCGGGGCTTGCTCTGTGAACGAGGAGGGGGAGACGACGGCCGCATTAGGGCGGGGCTGCGCCAGCGGCGGTGCCGCTGTTGCCGGCGGAGCCGTCGCCGTCTGCTGCTGCTTACCCAGAAAGTCCACCTTCATGCCGCCGGAGTAGGCGTCGAAGGTGTAGGCCACGCTCCGCTCGATCTTGGGCATCTGCTCCTGGGTGTAGTTGTGCACCTTCTTGTAGTGGAACTGCAGGCACTGCTTGGTGGTGAAGGCCGCATTGCACTCCGGCTCGGCGCACCTGCAAATTGTTTAACGCAAATGTTACTAAACACACGGATGGGATATAGGCATTGGTACACCCACTTGAACGGCCGCACGCCCGAGTGGGTCAGCATGTGGATCTTGAGATTGCTGCGGTTCTGGAAGAGTTTCTGGCACCGCGGACAGCTCACCACCGTCGAGTTGCGGCTGTGCACCTCCTTCGAGTGGCGCTGCAGTGCCGCTCGCGATCCTAGAAGTTTTGAACATAATTTACACTGAAAATCTCGTAAAACTTCAGCCATATCTAAAATGAAATTGTATGAAGAAAATGAAATTTCGGATTGTGGTGATTTTGAAAGAACAACTTAGTGATAATCCATAACCAGAAACCAACCCAACAACGAACGAACGAACGAACCAACGAACGAACAACGAACATAAAACGAAAGCCGAATCACATAAGGCACGGATCACAAGATCATCGGTTGGGGATTTGGATTTGGAGTTGGATTTGGGTGGGGGGCAGCAATCATAAGGTGGGGCCTGGAATCGGGACGTACTCTATGAACCAATCACCGAAGAACTAATGCAAATCATTCACTAAAAGCGGTTACTAAATGCAGGCTATGATCTGGGCTAGTACTAAGTATGTGACTGAAGGACGGATATATTTTAAAGCTACAATTCACTCAGAAGCACTCTTGCAGTATTCATTTTAAACTTTGTAATTTAAATAAAAGTCCCTGAACTTCTTACAAAATTGTTTATACTCATAAAATAAAAGAATATAATTAATTGGTAGAGAAAATTTATATTCGACTCAGTAAAATATGCAACAAAAACTTTATCTGCTACTCAAATTGCATATTTTCCTTGATTTTGATTATTATTATGTTTTCAAAATATAAAAAAATATAACTTAAAGAAATTGTAAAAAGCTTAACTTTTGTTTTAACTTTCTCACAATACTTCTGCTACTAAAAGTATGCAAGTCTTGGACTAAGAGAAATCTTCATTTTTTAGATTAGTTAACAAGTAAAATATTTTAAACGTGAATGAAACTAAGTCGCCTGTTTTAAAAATCACCTTATTTGATGCGAAACATTCAGTCACTTCAGTGCGGATCTAAAAGGGTGGATGTCATTCGGTATTTTTTAATAATGAACAATAGCATATACAAACAGAACACAAATTCCAAGAAACCAACGGAAAATCGGTAAAGAATACGCATAAATATAAATCAACCAAAAATATAGGCAACTAAAGAGAGATGAGCGATCGCAGATGCTTTTAGTGTTACATATATCGCGGTGTTGGTGTGGTGGTGACTTGAGGTGTGGTTGCTTAAGTAGTACAGCTAATTTTACAGCTAAGCGACTCTTTACGATATTAATACATAAGACATTGTTTGCATGGGTTGTGTAAGTCTATCATTTTTGTGAGTGTGTCGACTCAAGATCACGGTTGCCACATAATCAAATATTCAAATACCATTTGCTTTTATAAAAAATCAATCAATAAGATTATCTACAAAGACAATATGGAAAGTAATATTGCATATTACATTTTAATTTTGTTAGGGGATAAATTACAATTTAGCAAAATAAGAGCTTTAAACCAGAAAAAACAATTTAAACACAATCCCCAGCTGTAAATTAAGTTTATAACTTTAAGCTTACAGTTTGTAAATAAATAAATAAATAAATAAGAGCTTTGAAAGACTGAAATCTGTATATTTTTAAACAATGAAATTTAAAATTAAATAAAAGGAAAAGATGAGAACTCAAAAACCGAATAATGAAACTACTTTTCTATTTTCGAACAAAATTAAAATTGTGTAAAATCCTTGACCATCTTGTGGAAACTGTGAACTCGATTCGATATTGATATGTGGTCATATACAAATTGGTTGATTTATGCAGAAGCAGTTGGACGGCGTGCGTCGCTATACATACGGTACAGTACATACGACATACGGTGTGGCTATGCTATACAATGGTTACGACATACTATACACGAGCTTACGACATACGACATGGCAGTCAGCTGGCCTACGATGCGGCTACGTTATATCAAATTACGCATACGCATGGGTGTACGATCAAAGTTGCGCTGCGCTGGCCACTTACCGCTGTGCATGCGCTTGATGTGCGCCTTCAGCTTCTGCGGCTGGCAGAACTTCCTGCCGCAAAAGTCGCAGACGGGCCGCGATCGATTCGGATTGGAGGCGCAACCATAGGTGCGGTGCATCTCCAGGTAGTTGAGCCGCAGGAAGAACTTGCTGCAGAACTGGCACTGGTACGCCCCCTTCCCGTCGTGCTTCTCCGCCGCATGCTTCATGATGTTGTCCTTGCCCAGGACAGGCTCGCCGCACACCTTGCAGTGGTACTTGCGGATGGTCAGGCTCATCGAGGGGTCGTGGAAGACGGAGCAGTGGGTGCGGTAGTACAGGGGGTGCTCGAACTTCAGGTTGCAGCCGCCGCAGTCTGCGTGGGTGGTATGGAAAGAAAGGGACGTCAGTCTATAGATCTTGAAAGTTGGAACACAATTAAGGGCATGGCCCCATGCTCAGGGAACGTCCTCAAAAAATTATTTATCTTGCTCTCTTTTCTCCAAGTCGGGAGTAATTCCATGAATTTGCTAAATCTAAATTTAATTTGAATAAATTGACCTTTCAAAAACATTGAACACGACCATAAAAGAATTTATATGGAAATAAAAATATTTGAAAATAAAAAGTTAAGCCAATTCAAACCTACTTTAATATATGCCTACAAATTTGGTTTTAGTTTTGTTAAGAAAAGCTTTTCAAATGGCATTTCTCATTACTGACTTGTTAACCCTAAAAAAGACTTAGCTGGGCCTAAAATTGTTCTGAGAAGTTTTGTAGTCCATTCGATAGGTATATATTAAAGTGCTAACGATGTTATATGTGTTGTAGTTGTTAAAAGGTATTTAACAGTATGGCTAATTCTAACTGTTCTTTTTTTTTAGAAATAAATAAGTACATTTCGGAAACCATTTGTACCTCCTCTTTACAGTATCTCTATGGACTGCAAATGTATATAGAAACATACTTTCCTTCTCCTGATTTAATGCCATTTATATTAATTATCTTATGTTGCTATAACAAAAACAATTTTCCTTGACATTTAGTTTAAGGCGCTTGGTTGACTTGCTCCTGGAAATGCCGATATTTATACTTCGCCAGGGTCACAGTCGTGAAACTCGACCCCGGCATTTTTACACAGAGAAAACTAGCAAAGTGATTAGATGCAAAAACAGGGTCGAAACATTTTAAAAGGTAATGCGCTTTAAATAAGTTGAACTTGAATCTTGTTTGTTCTTAATGAGTTTGTTTAGTTGTTGAAAGGGTTTCACCCCATTTGTACACCTTAAACGTTGCATTATTTCGTTTTGCGTGGCTAAACCATCTTTTTCACTCACTCGTTTTCTCGGTGTGCTTCTTGCGCCACATGGTGTTGCAGTCGTCGCTCCAGTAGAGCAGCTCCATGCCGTTCCGCAGGTCGCGGCAGCTGACGAAGTACGCCTGCCGGTCGATGGAGACCAGGTTGACGTTGCGCTCCTCATAGCTGGGCGCCGGGCGGACGAAGCGCAGCCAGTTGGAGGCATTGGGGTTGTCGCAGCACAGCAGATACGACTTGTCGGCGCCGGCCTCGCACATCTCGAAGATCCACTTCATGTCGCTGCCCTCGCGCACCTCGCCGGTCTGGACGGGCTGTCCGATGAGCGGGCCCAGCTTGGTGAAGGCCCTGACCTCGGTGCGGGCAAACACCCCGGTCACGTTCGGCTCCACGTTGTGCAGCTCGAACTCCGCGGGCACCGAGGCCTCTGCGAAGGTGATCAGCGGCTTGGTCTCCAGCTCCGATAGCTGCGAGGACTCGTCCATGTCCATGTCCATGTCCATGTCCTCCATGTCCTCCATGTCGTCGTCCTCGTGCCGCTGCCGTCCACTGGCCCGCTTGGCCTGCCGCTGGGCATCGGCCTTCAGCTTGGCCAGCGCCTCCAGGTTCCGCCGCTCGATCCACTCGCCCAGGTCGACGGCATCGGTCACATTGCCGCAGGCGTTCCGCAGCGGACACAGCTTGTGGTCGTGGGCAATGGAGCACTCGCGGCAGGACTGCTGCGACCGGAAGGCGATGTCGTGCTCGTCCTCCTCCTCCACGAAGTTCTGCTCCATCTTCATCTCGCGGGCCAGGGCCTCCTCGTCGAGCTCCTCGTCCTCCTCGTCGTCCTCCTCGTTGCCGGCCAGTCCAAGTCCACCGCCGCCAACCTCCTCCTCGTGCTCGTCGTAGGAGTTGGGCGGCATCATGGCCGCCGCTGCCGCTGCCGCTGCTGCCGCCGCCGCTGCCGCCGCTTTGGCCGCCTGAGATTTCTTACCGCCCTGCGACTTGGAGCGGCCATGGAAGTTGCCATTGCTGGAGGGGATCCCATCGACGGCATCGGAGGGGGGAGGACGGGCAGGAGGTGTGGATGCTGCTGCTGCTGCTGGTGGTGGTGATGGTGGTGATCCTCGTCCTCGTCCTCCTCCTCGCTGCCATTGGCCGCTGCTGCCGCTGCCGCCGCCGCCGCTGCTGCAGCCGCTGCCGCTGCCGCTTTCTTGAGGCACAGGGCACTCGGCAGCGACTCCTTGCTATTCGCCTCCAGCTCGCTCTTGATCTTCTCGGCGATGCGGCAGTCGAGGACCTCGGGCAGGGCGGAGGAGGCGGCCGCCGCAGCTGCCGCTGCTGCACTGGCCTTCAGCGCCGCCGTTGCCGCTTTGGCCTCCTGTTTCTTGGACTTGGCATAGGTGAAGCCGGCGGCTGCTCCTCCGGCTCCTCCCGCTCCCTTGCCCTTGCCGGCAAATCCATTTAACGCCTCCGAGGTGAATTGCACCCGCTTTTTGTAGCGCTTGCGCTGCGGCGGGGTGGGCGTGGCCATGGGAACGGAGGCAGCCGAGGCGGAGTCGCCGTTTCCGTTTCCGCTCGCATTGCCATTTCCGCTGCCGTTGCCATTGATCGAGGATTCGGGCGGGGCGGCAAAGTCCTTGGCGCTCAGATTCGGCTCCAGCTTGAAGTTCCCATCGAAGCCTTTGGTGGGCGTGTGCGCAGGAGAGGGCGGGGGCAGGCTGCAAATAAGAGGTGGTGAGTAAGGTTGATTCCTTGGCTTGCATACTTTCTACTGAGTAACTGCTAAAGATAGAAAGCATATGTATTTTCCCGTTAAGAATAAACCCTATTGACTTAAATAAAATAAAAATGTGGGTAATAAGATAATACTAGTTATTACCAATATCACACTAATCAGTTCGTTGACTTAACTATCACAGTACAATACTTTGTTGTTGCATTGTGTACTGTATTGACTGTCTGGACTTTCGCTTACCATAACTAATTGATAAGTAATTATAAAATATTTAATTTCTTGTTTTTTCTTTATAATTCCCAACTAGTTCTATCGCATCAAAAGCGACAAGTAAGACACTGAAAATTTAAGACTTCATTGAATCAATTCCAAACTAGATAAAAGACAAGTGCACCCACACTTTCATTCAGTTCGCAATATCTTAGCTATAACATAAATGGTTTATGGGTATTTATCTTTTTTACTGTCACATTTTACAGTACTAATATTGTCGTACAATAATTATTGTTGGTACTTTAAACGATTTTTTTCGGTTGAATCATTTTATCATGAAATTTTTATTGAATTTACTGTGAAATGGTAATACTTCCGTAATGTTGATTTCAGTTATTTTTCGGTAAATTGTTATTTGCAGTATTTTAACTATAAATTTGGTTGATCAAGACATACAATAATCAATAATAAATAACAAATTATCAGAAATAAAAATTTGTGGGGTATAGTAAAAATCGAACCAAATAGTTAATATATTTGCTAAAGTTGCATAGTATATATAATGACATATCAACCTATCATGACTAACTTATTTTTTAGAGTGAAGAGAGAATAGCTCTTATAAGATAATAGTTAGTATTCGTACTAGTTCATCATTTTACTGCAAGGACAATATTATTGCACATTTATTATACAACATTTGAAATATGCTTGCTGTTATGAAATAAATAAAAACACCGTGAAGTGGATACTTTTTGCAAAGCAAAATAATCTTGGGAGCAAAGAGAGATGGAGAAGCTTGTCACGATAGTTGGCGGCGTCTGTGAAAGTGGGTCGATGGAATTTATTTATTTCTGGTCTACGGTCGAGTCCCTCCTCCTGCCAGGACCAGTCCACTATCGTCCTTCTCATCTCTTCTCCTCTTCTCTCCCTCTCTTCCCTTTCTCCATCGCATACTGTCCTTGTTGTTGTCGCCTTTGCGTTTAATTAATTTTGCTTACGCTTTGCTTGCCGCTTCGCGTCCCCCTTGAGGGGAAAAAAGGTGGATGGAAGGCGGAATCCGTGAAGTCTGGACCACTTGCATCACAAAAAAGAGCGGTGCGAAGACCCAGATACTCTAGCAATTCAATTCAACACGGACTTCATTGTAAATGTTCGGTTCCCGTAACAAAATGTTCTATTGACCATATAACAAAAAGTTTTTGAAGACTAAACAAGTTCAAGAAAGTTAAAATGCTTTTCTTGCATCATAATTTGTAATAGGATGGTGAGTAGTGAACGAATTTCGACCAAGAGTTAAATGCTTCAAATAAACTTTAAAGACAACAAATTACGTATGATTTAATGACAGTCAGACGGATAAGTTTATGCCGATTTTCCTGAAGATGCTGATTATTAATATATAAAAACAAGAAAGGAAAGCTAACTTCGGGCGGAGCCGAAGTTGATATACCCTTGCAGAATATTTTATAAATTATATTGTCCAAAATTATTCATATGATGTATTCTTAATACTCATAAAATGTCCCAACTTCCTAACTTTAAAAACACCAAAGTTATGGCATTTCCAATCGTTCAGTTATATGGCAGCTATAGGATATAGTCGGCCGATCCTTATGAAATTTGATAGGTCGGATTGATTGGCCAAAAATAAAGCCCATAGAAAATCCCAACTTCCTAACTTTAAAAACACCAAAGTTATGGCTTTTCCGATCAATCAGTTATATGGCGGCTATAGGATATAGTCGTCCGATCCTTATGAAATTTGGTAGGTCGGATTGATTAGCCAAAAATAAAACCCATAGAAAATCCCAACTTCCTAACTTTAAAAACACCAAAGTTATGGCTTTTCCGATCGTTCAGTTATATGGCAGCTATATGATATAGTGGCCCGATCCGGCTCGTTCCGACTTATATACTACCTGCAATAGAAATACAACTTTTGGGAAAGTTTCAAGCAGATAGCTTTAAAACTGAGGGACTAGTTTGCGTAGAAACGGACGGACAGACGGACAGACGGACAGACGGACGGACAGACGGACGGACAGACGGACAGACGGACATGGCTAGATCGACTCTCCTGGTGATGCTGATCAAGAATATATATACTTTATAGGGTCGGAAATGTCTCCTTCACTGCGTTGCAAACTTTTGACTGAAATTATAATACCCTCTGCAAGGGTATAATTATATACTTTACAGGTCCAAAATGTTACAAAAATGTTTAGCTTTCAACTAACAAAGCAATATTCCCGTATTTGTTCGGTTTTTTAAGCGCAAAAAAATATAAATTTATATATAACGTAAAGTATATGTTAGTAGTTATTTAAGTAAATTAGTAAGAAATTATTAAGAAAAAGACCAGTGGTGTTGTAAAATTGGTAACTAACGAGCGTCACTTGACCGCTTCTGTTCCCTCGTTAGTCTATTTTTAAGCCCGGTTTCCATATCTCTCAGCAACTAGTTGTTGGTGGGTAATTTTGGTTACTGACGGCAGAAATCGCAACAAATTTCCGTGGGGGCAATGCAATCGCATACCCGGTAGCCACGAACCTTTGAACCTTTTGCTGTTTGAATTCATGTGGAGGAAATTCATCAACGGTATTGAGTGCGATACATCGTCGGCGTTGAACTCTGGATGCTGCACATGGTGGCCCGGTGGTACCCCCTCCCAAACACCGTCCCCGCTGTCTCCCCGTTTCCCCCTACCCCGTGTTATCGTTCATTAAATCCTCCACCTTAGAACCATAACAACAATATCGAAAACAGCGGCAACGGCAAACGATTCCATTCCATCCCGCCATCGTTCTATCCAGCCATCCACTGCCACACTGCCACCCCCTCGGTATCCACTTACCCTGCTCCACTTTGTCTCAACCTTCCACCCAGTTGCTTTCCATCCACCACCCGCTCTCCATCCACCCACCATCACCACCCATCACCCACCACCCGCGCTTCTTTGACCGCAGAGAGCGAACATATTCCTGGTTCCAGTTCCATCCTCTGAAGATGGGGGTTCCGTGCTAGGATCCCTGGGTTGGGTTCCTATTCTGGTGAATGCGAGTGTCTCTACCATTAATGTGCTGCTTGAGGGCCCAGCGGGGGGTGATGAGTGGGTGGGTGGCTGGCAGGGGGGTGGTGGAGGGTGGCAGAGGGAGGTGGGTGGCTTAACTCAGTTGGGTTTTCGAGGTTGGAGGTTGGAGACTGGGGAGTTTTGGGATTCTGTTTCGTGTGCGGTGCTCGTTGGCGCATTAAGCACACAGCCAGCGACACAAACGAGGCTCACACAGACATACAAACACATACACACACTCACATACCAAAACACACACACGCGCACTCGCACAGAGACAATTGCACAACAATTTTGTGCTTTTTGGCGAAAATTCGCAGAAATTGGCGACATGGCGTATACGAAATGCGAATTGGCAAAAGGCAAAGAAGGAAATTGTGGTGTTGTAGGAGGGGAAAGGGGCGGAACAGGGGTGGTAAGCACAAGATTGGGGGTGGGATATTATCTATTGTGTATGTGGGTGTGTGTGCGTGTTTGTCTGTGTCTGATTACAGGGGCTATGGGATATCGCACTGGCACAAGGAGATGCGAAAGAAGGAGCTGCTGATTAGTGGCGAAGACCTACGAGTGCGAATTGCGATACAAGGTTCTTTTTACCAGTCCAAGATTCCCAGTTTGGGTTTCCCAGAAAAACATGGTAAAATGATCGTTCTTGAAATCACTTTTGGGGCATACACTAAAAACGCTCAATTTGAATCTGTATCTCAAGTATAACGATATAAGGTCAAGGTTAAATTACAATTTTTGCAGAACACTGAAGATTTTAGTATGAGCTCTATTATTTCTCACATCAATGAGCAAATTAGAATCATGGATCGTTTTTAGCGGTTATTTGTTTTATATTTTCTAACTAATACATGCAAAAATAGTCAATAATAAAACTTGTACTTATAACAGCAGTTTTTCGAAAGTTCCTTGATAATGTATCAAGATCGTTAAAATAATGAAATTATTGTCTGTTAAAATACAAGAACATTTATCACATTGAGGGATTTCAATTAGTTTTTGTTTTTACTGTAATTTTCATTCTTCGTCTTTGTATTGATAAAAAGACAAACAGTGATAACAATTTATAGCTTTAAACAATTTTCGCGACCTCTCTTTTCATGGCTGTCGAACTGTCGGAAATTGGTCGACACTGTAAACCAAGCCAATCTCACATGTGGCGCAACGTGTTCTCTAATGATCGAATCGGGGCTCCTGGCCCAAAAGGACTCGGGTGTGTGTGTCTGTGTGTGTCTGTGGGTGGGAATGTGTGTTAACCTGCCAACGGGCTCCTCCTTGTGGCATTCGCTTCGTATGGCAGCCAATGCCAAAGGAAGAGGGCGATAAAAGGGAGGCGACGGAGGTGGAAGCCCAACTGAGATTCAGACATTTCTGCATTGGCATTTTGCATTTGGCCAAGGATGGGAAGTGGATGGGGGAAACAGGGCCCATATTCAAAGCGCCAAATGGCGCGCTCGACTGCAGTGCAACAGCACCAACAAAAAGTACGAGGCGTGGCAGGGTGCAGGGTGCAGGAGAGGGGGGAAGAGGTTGGAGGTTGTTGCGGAGGCAATGTGGGGCAAGGGAAGAAAATTCGCGACGCATTCACGTTGCAAGGATCCGAAGGAACCTCCCGGGCTCATGTGTGTGCGTGTGTTTCCCCCTCCCCCCTCTCCCTTTTAACTCTCCCTGTGTTTTCTACAGTTGGGGAAAATCTTACTTTATTATAAATTAAATCAATAACTGATTTCAAATGTCTATCTCTCAGAAAAAGAATAAGGCCTGTAACAAGGCCTTAAATGCTATTCAGGGACATTTCGAGTTTTAAGTTTTAGCCTTGTAAAACTAGGAGCATCAAAATTATGTAAGCTCTTATACTAACGCTGCATATTCTAAAATGTTGGTAGGTCAATGGGCCGCAATTAGAATGCAAAAAAAAGAAATATGCTTTAATAATTAAATTTCGGAAGTTCTTGGTAGGATTAAACGACGACTTTAAAATCAAGGGTTTCTTATAAAAATTCAGTAAAAATATTAATTTTGTCAAATATTCCAAAAAATTCAATTCTTCTTCTATGTAAGGGTACTTTATGGGAAAATATTTTGAAAATTTAACTGTTCGTTGTATAACAAAGATGTGGCTCTTTTAAACAGGCTATTATACAAAAATAGATTATGATACATAATAAATTAATTGACTATTGCCTATCTACAATATTTCAGGTTGCTTAATAATTAAAATATTGTTCAAAAGTTGTATATATTACGCAATTAACTGGTGCAAACTCTCATTAGAAAAAATCAGGAAAGGCTTTTGGTTCTTGATTTACGAACAATGCTGCATTGTTCTTAACTGATTGGTTTTGTATGTAACCCCCTTTTTTGTCCGTGTAGGTTATTTGTGTGTGTAAGTGGGCGATTGGCAACATGGCATGCAAATGCAGGCAGCAACAACGTCAACAACAACGACAACAACAACATCCCCGACCATGTTGCTTGAGTTTGCGCCTGTGAGTGTTCGTGTCCGTGTGAGTGTGTTGCTTTTTCCGCTTCCGCTGACATGGCGGCAGTGAGAATACGAGTCGAGCACAGCGGGTTACGTTACGGTTCCGACTGCGGAATATGCGGAATATACGGAGTATACGGAATATACGACGGAATATGGTCGAAATGGTGACTACGGCAGAAACATGAAAGCTCCGTTGCATGCAACCGCATGAGTACCGCATTTGTGCCTTTGTATCACGCGGCCAAAAGGGGTTGATGATGGTAGGGGGGTTTTCGGGGGTTTTGGGGGTTTTTGGGGGTGATGGGGCGGCAGGAATGCATTCGGGCATGAATTGCTTTTACATGGATCGCTTTAATACCGCACCTCCTTCATCTTCTTCTTTTACTGCTGCGTATCGCGCCACTTGAGCTACCCAAACCCCCCCCACCCCTCTCCCACCAAAAAGCTCTGTGTCTGTGTGAGTTCATATCTGCGAGCAAATATCAACAATGATGGCCAGCAGAGCGTTGCCACATCTCTCGCATCCAGCCGATTCGACTCCTTTGTCTCCTCCTTTTGTCCTGGTTAATTAACGGAACCAGATGGAAGCCAGCCAGAAGGATATAGTTGCATTACCGACTTTTTGAAACTCACTACCCAATGTTTTTACTCAGGTATCAATGATTTTCCCTATCCGATATCCTTTCTAATTGTACTTCGGGCACAAAAAAGTATAGAATGCTTTTTCGTGGCATATGGAACAAGTTAAGTGTCTCTTGGCATCGGAATTGTTCGAGGTAGAGCTGCAAAAACTTTTCAGGACATATGACGTTGTAATTTTGATCAATAACTCTGCACTTCTGGCATGGTAATTGATTTTTATCGACTTTCACTCAAATGAGACGACATTAAACCCCATAAAATATATTAATTACATTGTTTTATGAAACAAACGATCGCACGTTTAATCACAATGTCTTGCAGTCATAAAAATATATAGCCATTGTTTACAAATAATAATTAATAGATGTTCGAACGTACTATTACCTGTTGCATATTACTAACTATATATTATATCTCGGAATAAGTCCCTATATGTTACATATAAGAGGTATAATTTTTTTAAAATAATTGTTCCAATTGTTCCAATGTGAGCTTTCTATACGACTTGCAATAAAAATAAGACTTTTGGGAAAGCATCATCTAGATAGTTTTGCAACTGCGAAACTAGTTTGCGTAGACACGGACCAACGGACGAACAAACGGATTTGGTTAGGACCTCTTTCCTGGTGATCACTATATGTCTAAGTCCTCCTTTACTGCGTTGCAAACATTTAACTAAAATTATAACACCCCCTCCGAGGATATAACTAGAGATTGCCAATCACTCAACGGCATATCAAACACTTCGTTTGCCCTATAAATTGGTCAGTTGATAATGGTTTTTGAAAATGATTTTTGTTTCATTTTAGAGAATCATTTTAGAGTGTTCCAAATTGATATATTTTTAAGGATGTTTTAACGTGAGAGTCATTAGAGAACGACAAGTGTAAAATTCATAAACTTTTTAAATTTCTCATAAAGATATCTATTTTACCTGCCAATGGTATGAATATATTTTTTCATTGTTTATCATTTCCCTTGCCAACGTTATTTAGAATAATATCTAAGAGCTATCCTTTAAATAAGTTTACTCACTTGTTTAACCGATCCGTGTCGTTATCAGCCAGGTTGAGAAGGTAGGCGACGAACTCCACATCGTTCTTGAACTGCAGCCGGGTGCGCATGTGCTCCCATTTCTCGGCGTTTTTGGTGCCGATGTAGATGTTCTTGCTGTAGTTCTGATGGCGGTACTTGCGCCGCTCGCTGGCCGCGCTGCTGCCGCCACTTCCCCCGCTGCCGCCGCTGCCCCCACCGCCATGCTGCTGCTGTTGCTGCTGGGCATTCTGTTGCTGTTGCTGCAGTGACATCGACGCATTGGAGGCGTTGATCCCCAGGCCCAGGGATGAGCCTCCTCGGGAATTGCCGCCACCGGTGGTCAACAGATCGTTGCTGCAATTTGTGCCCTGACCGCCCGCCCCCAAGCTGCCGTGCGTCGAGCTGAGGGCGTGGTTGCTGTTGTTGTTGGTGGAGAAGCTGGTGTTGCTGTTGCCGCCGAGCAAACTACTGGGCGGTGGCGGGGCAATGGGCGTGGCACCGCTGCCACCGGCCATGTCCAGGGCATTGGCACTCTGCTGCTCCAATTGGGCACTGAGCTTGGCCGCCGAGGCAGCCGCTGCCGCTGCGGCCGCTGCTGCCGCCGCCGCTGCCACGGCGCTCATGTGCAGACCGCTGCTCTCGGCGGCCGCCGAACTGTTTAGGTGGGCGGAGGAGAGGGTGGCGCGGCTGTCTAGGTGGCTGCTGGCCACCTCGTCCTCGTCCTCGTCGTCCTCCTCCTCGCCATCGTCGTCATAGACAGCAGGCTCCTGTTGCTGCTGCAGATGTTGCTGCTGCTGTTGCTGATGCTGCTGCTGATCGTGATGGCTGGGCGGCAGGACATGTCGCAGGTCTGTGGGCGTTAGATCATGACCGTTGCCCTGCTGCTGGCGATGCTGCTGATGCTGCTCCTCCTCGTCCTCCTCCTCATCCTCGTCGTAGTCGTCCTCCTCGTCCTCTTCGTCCTGCGGCTGCTGCGATTGCTGTTGCTGCTGTGCCTGCAGGTGATCGTCACGATCTCGTGACTTGCTGCTGCCGTTATTGTTGTTGTTATTGTTATTGTAGTGTTGCTGCTGCTGCTTGTTGCCGTTGTGCAGCGCATTGACCGCCGCTGCCACCACGGCCGCTGCTGCCGCTGCCCGCTGCTGCTGCTCTGCCGCCAGTTGCTGCTGTTGTTGCTGCTGGGAGACTGCCTCCTCCTGCTCCTCCTCCTCATCCTCGTCCTCCTCGTCGTCCTCCTCCTCGTCCAGGCTGCTTTGCGAGCTGCTGCTGCTGCGACTGCTGCTGCGGCCATAGTTGTTATTGATGTTGTTGTTGCTGCTGCTGCTGTTGACGGCATTTGCCCCATTGTTGTTGTTGCTGCTACCAATGTTGTTGTTACTGCTGCTGGTGCTGTGCGGCATTTGTCCCGCCGAACCGGCCGAATTGTTGCTATTGTTGCTAATGTTGCTCAAGGCTGCCGCTGCTGCTGCTGCTGCCGCTGCAGCGGCGCGACTCAGGAAGGGTGGGCGTGGCACCAGCGGCGTGTCGGAATTATCGGAACTATCGTTAAAGTCGAACGCACTGAAATCGGCGGCATTGGCGGCATTTGTTGCACTTGCTGCTGCTGCTGCCGCTGCTGCAGCCGCTGCTGCTGCTGCTGCTGCTTGTGTTGCTGCTGCACTTGGATTACCGCTGCTTGTTTTGGACATGCTGCTGCCGTCGCTGCCGACGCTAGCGTTGCTGCTGCTGCTGCTACTGCAGCTGCTGCTGCTGCTGCTGCTGCGACTGCAGCGCTTGTTGTTGCTACTGTTGACCGCTTGTCGCCGCTTGGTTGTTGTTGCTGTTGTTGCAGTTGCTGTGACAATTGGGGTTTCTGTTGCTGTTATTTTAAGTGTTGCCTTTGTTGCTGTTGCTGCGCTTTGCCGAACGCTGCTCAGTTTTTGCTATTTATTGTTGTTGCTGGCGCTGCTGCGACGCGAATGGTTGTTGTTGTTGCTGCCGGGGCGGTCTGTCTCCGATTCCGCTTCAGATGGCGCCTTGCTTTGCCTCTGCTGCTGCTGCTGTTGTTGTTTCTGCTTCTTCTTCATTATTCAAACACACAAGTCGCGCGTGCGACCCACTACACTTTTTGTTGCTGTTGCTGATTTTGCTGCTGCTCTTGATGTTGTTGTTGCATTGCTTTTCTACAGCTTTTTTCGCTTGTGTATTGTAGGTTTCTCTGCTGTTTTTTGATATTTTTGTATGTTATTTTTTGGGAAATGTTATAGATTTGTGGGAGGGGGATTGAGGAAAAAACTGAATATATACCAGCAGCGCCGCCGCGGTCGCTGTCGACGTCGACGCCGACTGCAACGTAGGGGTAACGCGAAATAGCAGTAAAAAAAAATACCGTTCGCCGAAAGTCACTCGCTGAAGCTCCCTTTTTGACACTGGGTGGCAACGCTGCCACAGGGATTTTTTTCCTTTTTATTATTTTTTATGTGCGCTCAAAACTTTTTATACACTCTGCTGGGAATGTTTACTTTGCGAACTATTTCGATTTTTTCTTGGTTTAACCTGGTAGCTGCCAATTTGTTTGTAGTTTTAGATTTGTCATTAAACATCCCTCCTGTTTTGTCACTTATAATGTGTCCAAACGTGTGTTTTGTGGCACATCCTTGGCTTGTGGTTTGGTTCTTGTGGTCAAGAGGGAGCTTGGCTTGTTATGATGTGGCTGCTGCTTGAAGTATCCTGCCACACACACACTCTTGCACACAAACACAGAACATAAGGTTTCGAATTTTTCAAAGATTTTTCCTCAAGTTCTTCTTCTTTGTTTCACTATGCACTTACGGAAAAAAAACAAACAAAAATTTTAAATGTTTGGGTAGCGACTTTCAGGCTGCTTAGATATTTTGTTGTTATTGTTGTTGTGTTCGCTATTTCGATAATTTCGTTACTATTTCTTTTTTTGGAGGACAAGGGTGTGCGTGTGTGTTAGTGTATTGGTGTGACACCCAAGAGAGAGGGGGAGAAAGAGAGAGAGAGAGAGCGCGAGGCGGTGGCGGTTTTCGCCTTATGGGGAAAAAGGAGCGGAAGGGGGGTGGTGGGGGCGATGAGTAAGGGGTGAGGGGGTTGTAGGGGTGAGCTAGACGCCTCGCCTTCTTCTGCTCCTTTAGCATTTCCAACTGCTGGCCTTTCTTACACACTTTTCCACGGCTTTTGCACTCGAAAATAACTTGTCAAAAAAAAGGAAAAGTTTCGCACACTTTCTAGCGGTTTGGGGGCACTTTTTTAATTATTTAACTGCTTTCTTCTTTTTTTCTGCCTGTTCTTGGGTTTTTGTCGTCCGCCGTTCGTGATTAGCGATTTCTCTGCGAGCGCTCATATGCCGTTACTCGCTGGTCGCGACGGAATGAAGGACTTTTTATTTATGTGTATGTCCTCGCCGCAGTCGCAGTTCCCGGCAGCGACGTCAACAGCGACGGCGACGCCGGCAGCGCCACTTCCTCCTGAGCTCTCTGCGTTGCGAAAAAGTCCTGCGAAGCCGCCAATGGCCCCCCCACCCACACACTCACACACACACTCTCAGGATTACGGAGAGTCTTTCTCCCTCTCTCTCACTCACTCACTCTCTCTCTCGCAGTCGAAAAAGCTCGCTGGAGTCGCGACGTCGACGTCGTGTCCTGTCGCTGTTTTTGATGTCGCGATTCCTTCTGCCCGCGAGTATCCGTGTGTCCCTTTGTGTGTGTGTGTGTATGCGGGTGTCCCTGCCAATGTATGTGTGCACTCGCGAATTGAGATGACGACGACAGCAGCAACAACAACATCAAGGAATCTGCTGGTGGATACTAGTCGCGATTGCACTGCCAAAAAAAATGTCCTAAACAGAATTTGCAGCTTCTTTTATTTTGGCCAATAGAGTTTTAAGGACTTTTAAGATTTTCAGCGTAATCGGAACTGGTTGTCGTATTTTCACGTTACCGAACACAAATTAGTTTCAATATTATCAGCTGTATTATAAATCACCCTATTACATAATCCTTTTAAAAATTACCCACGTATCTTTGCTGAAAGAAATTTAACCATTGTTAAATGTTAATATTCTTCTATTTTACTTAATTTAATTTATTATTCTTATTTTTTATAAATTAGCTCAACCAAAATAAAATGGATTTGGGATATTATTCAACTGGGATTTACACCGACATTGGATCAGTGTATGACTTTTGCTGCTGCGAGTGCCATTGCTACACATCGACATCTGCGCCAAGTTCCGTTCTCAGCCTCGCACCCGTTCTCTCTCGTCCTGCCCACCGCCCTGCCCCGCCCCCTCACACATACTCACACAGGCACTTACACTCAGATAGGCACGTACTCCGCCCCCTGCTTCCCCTCGAACCCCTGTCGGCGTTATCGTTGTCGTTAGTGCCACGACGGCCGTCACAGGCAGCTCACTGAGAGAAAATGCTATTAACATTTTTCTTTTTATTCATTCGTCATAGTTTTGAAAATGTTTGGGGTGCAGAATATTTTTTAAAGCTCTTTTATTGAGTTTTAAGGCCCATTACCATTATAATTTATATAAGCAATAAAGGATATAGCTGCAGTGGTTTTTGTATTTAAAAATGATCTATCTACTTTGAATTGGCTTTATTGAGGTGCTCTAAAAGGAATAGTTAATTAGCTCTATCTATTATATGTATATAAATATAATATATTTAATGTATTACGAATGACTACGTTTATAATCCAAGTGTGACAGGACTCAGGGGCGACTGGCAGGAGCAGAGCGAATTGGCGCCACCCCCAAAAATCCATGCGAAGCCGCCCGCCCGTGCCACTCCCACAGTGGTCATAAATCGAATTTTTGTTTATGTGGTGGTAAGGCTGCTGCGAAGCAGTCGCACCCCCCTTCGGATACCCCCTTGGCCACCCCCTTTTGGCCACCCACAATCGCACCCCGCTGAGTCTGCAGCCAACATCCTGTCATTCCAACAGTCGCGGACGGCGACGCCGACGTCGCTGCCAGCGCCAATGGTTTACGGTTTGTTGTGTTTCGGTGCCACCAGCAGGGGGTGGTGGGTGGAATGGATGCAGCTCCTTCTTGTTTCCTTGCCCGTGCGGGTGGTGGTTCTGCCGGCCGCGACGTCGATGCCTCTGCCGGCGTCGCTTTTTTGACCGCTTGGCGCCTGCGTCGCTCTCATTTTTCATTATCGCTCTTTCCGGCTCGCTCTTCCGCTTGCTCTTCCGCTCCTTCTACCACTCTCTTCCCAGCTTTCTCTCTTGTACTCTCTTCCACTCTCTCTGCGCCTGCTCTGGTCCCTTCTCGCTGCTCAGCGCCCCCCATTTCGCCCTCTTCAACCCTCCGGCCCCAACAAAAAAAACGAACACTGCCTGAACGTATGCAGCGATTTTTTTCGTGCTAGCTTGTTGTTATTCTTCCCGCTGGGGGTTGAAATTCCTCGTGTCCATGTCCTCCTTCGTTGTCTTTGTATGTGTGTGTCTGTGAGAAATAGATGAAGAAACAAAATGTGCGCTGTGACGTCACTGGTGTCAGAGGCAGGGCTGCAGTGCAAAGTCAACATTACCAGGGCTATTGCAGAGCGAGTACAGTAAAATCACTATTTGAAAGTTCATTCAGATCTAAGAAGACACCAATGACACCAAACCAAAAAAAAAAGAAAAACACGATTAAAGGTTTAAAGAAAAAATTGTAAAAATAGTTTTTATTTTCTCTTGTTTTAAAGTAATACCTCTGGATTTTTAATAAATTGGGTTGTTATAAAACAAGTTGCCCTTGTTCTTACGGCACTCTTAGAACCATAACAATAATAAATAGGGAATTTTTTATAACAAATTTGCAAAAAAAAAAGACAACCAAAACCATACAAATATAAAGTTTAAAAAGTTTTCGTTTACCTACAATAGTTTGACAAATGTTGTTGGTAAAAGGTTTGATTTAAACAAATGACAATCGTTTCGCGGTTACAGGTGTGCTACTGTTGCTCCTTTAGAGAGAGATTTTGCAGAGAGATTATTAAATTATAGACCTGCGTATTGTGTCACATTTTGAACTCGTTGGCTTAACTCGCCACTCGCTAATGATTTGAAATCAAAAAGTTATTTTTGAAAAAATTGGTATTATTCAATAGACAAAGTAAAGTTGTAGGCACCGATGTTTAGCTTTTTCTTTTAATTTCTTTTTCTTTGGCTCAAGACTATAGATTATTTTATTATTTCATAGACGATGCAAAGGGGGAAACCCAATAAAAAAGGAAAAGACTTTTTGTTCCGGTGTGACCATTGCATTTTTTGGCAAACCTTTTTCCACGGTAACCCTGTTTTTAATTCAAACAATTATTAAAACAAATAAAAATATATTAAGATTGCTATGAGGCAATTTATAGTATATTTATTATTCAATATTTAGCTTAAATATTAAAATAAACAGATTTACATTTTTTTTAGCTTTTTACATTTAATGTCTATCAAGATTTACTTTTCTAGATTTTGGTAAGCTATTTGTCTGGCTTTCTATCCACTTTGAAATCATCGAATTATTTGACGAAATGGAGGCTATTCTAGTTTCTTATCCTAATATATGCAATGGGGCTCTATGGATCCGGTTATGTTGCAAACGGCAGAAACCATGTGTAGGTATTGGTTCTTGTGCCAGGCTAGGTTGTCAAGACCCAGTTCCAGGATACGTCGCGAGGTGGCCTCAATGCCAGGCAGATACCTCAGTTCTTTTTTCATAAACGATTGTAGAAAGTCGAGCTCTTTCTCCGTGCTAACCTCCTCTATCAACACCGTAATGAGCTGTGCTATCTCATCGGTGCTGTTTCCATACCTGCAACAGTGGAAGGTGCATTAATGGCTGATCAAAGTTGGTTGTAAACGATGCATCAGCTGCATCACGTGCATAATTCTTGTCTTATACATATAAAAAGCTGCGATGCTGCAGATGCATCGTTTACCACCAGGTTAAGAACTCAAGCTCGGAGCTGATGTACCCGAGTTACTGCCTACAATTTAATGATTGTCTGAATGTTGTCCACCAGGTATCTCTTGGCCAAGATGTAGCCCAAGGGGTTCTGTGCCACCGCGCTGAAGATCAGCAAAACATCGTCCTTGGGCAAATAGCTACTGCCGAAGGCCAAGGTGAGCATTTTGTCCAGTGCCCAGCTTTCGCGGCTACATGCGAGGGCACTGAGGATGATGCCCCGCTCCTCGGACACATTCGACCGCTTGTACAGTCGCCTCAGCAGTGTCCAATCCGCCTCGGTTCCCAGTCGGATGGCGGTGCAATAGATGGTCTCGCGCTGATCTACCGGAATGTTATTGGTCGTCAGGGTCAGGCCACTGAACTCCTTGAGGGCCAGATTTGCACAGGATTTCATTTCCGTTTGGCATGCGAGCTGCAGGATGAGACCCCTCAGGTACAAGGGATAGCTCTTTCCAGATCGAGTACTTGGGATGAACAGCTCATTGAACTTGGTCTGCAGTATGCCCCTCATAAAGCTCTGCAAGGTAAAATTCAAAATTCAGCTTAGCTATTCTTGGCTCCTAATTTACTTAAGTGTGCTTAAATCGTCGATTAGCTCCACCTACATCACATATTTCTGCAGGCTTATTTCGCAATCTCCAAAAAATGCTCTTGACGTAAAAGGACTTTCGTGTAGAATTCCCAAAAAGCTTTTGTAAGATAATGTGGTTTTAACTCATACTGAGCGGATCATTGTCATTAAAATTAGTTTGATTTAAGGTCATGGGATGTTAAGGTTATAGCTAGTAATCTGTCAGATAAAATCAACATGAAGGCAAATATTTTTGCAACACAAAATCTCTTTTCAATATGATGAAAGTAGACGAAATTTTTTTTTTTTTTACGTCATTTTCGTTTTGTCGACCTACAAATTTTAAACCAGAACTTTGCCTTTACCTGAGAGCTTTTAGTTAAATGAACTTTAATATGAAATTAAGAAATCCTAAACAGTAATTTAGCCTTAACTTAACGTGGTATTGAGAAATCTGTAATTTTAGACACTTTGAGGTGTGAAAATTCGCATTTAGGCGGATAGACTTTCCTTCTGGCCAGGATTGGAGTGTGGTCCGAGGAGAGTTCATGGAGTGTTTTTACTTCTAGCCTGTTTATAGCGTATCCGTTGATTATGAAAAAATCAAGCGCTGTCGGTGTTATCAGGGGGTTGTATGAGTAAAAAGTGGGTTCACCTGTGGCAAGTACTTGGTAATGCCCATTTGCAATGACATCTTGCAACTGTTTACCCCTTCTACAGGCTCTTGAGTTTCCCCACCATGCATGTTTGGCATTATAGTCACCGCCAGCAATAAATTTGCTTCCAAGTCCGGCCAGCAAGGACTCAAATTCTGATTGGATCCATCTTTCTGCTGGAGGTAGATATATAGCTGCTAATGTTACATTTCCGTCTGCAGTCTGTAATTGAATGCTCGCTATCTGCCTGTCATTGCTAGAGGCGGCGGGCAAGGGATTATGGCTTAGGGAATCCTTTATAATGACTGCAGAGCCACCTTTGCTGTTGCCACTAGGGTGATAAGCATGGTATATAAGATAGCCTGGCAAGTAGATGCGCTGACCATCGCGCATGTGAGTTTCTGTGGCAAGCATTACATCTATGTTATGATCGCTGAGGAATATTCGAAGCTCTTCAGATACTCTGACTAATCCACGAGCGTTCCACAATCCGATATTTAATTCTGATTGAATCATTTCGGCAATCGCGCAATTAGAACGTGAACCAGCTCTCTGAAAGCCTTGTTGGACTCTGCATTTTCCTGCATTAGCTTAAACAGAGTGTCGAGTTTGCTATTAATGTCGCGGATGGCATTATCTAACGCTGTGAATTTAAGGGTGAGCCTAGGGTCTGAAGGAGAGCTTGCGTCACTCTGCGAGGTTGAGCCAGTCCTTGCTTGCATATCCTTGGGTCGAGCTATATCAGCATACGATATATTCGTTCTTAATGCCTGAGCTGGTATGAATCCACGCGATACGCGTCCTGGATCATTTGTTACCGGGAGTCTAGGCCTCGGCTTTTGTTTTTTATTTTTTCTAATCTGACCGGGCAATCTTTATCTGTCGAGACGTGGTTACCGCCACAGTTTACGCACAAGCATGTATCGCTTACACAGAGTGTGGAACCAGTAACATGAGAACCACTACATTTACCACAAACAGGGTCCTGAACACAATAGTTTTTAGAATGTCCAAAAATTTGGCATCTTTGACATTGAAGTAATTCTTTTCTACGGGGTGCACGCTCGACAGTGACTCTGTATCTCCCGAGTTGCGTAATTTTTAGGGACTCTGCGACGTTTGCACCCTGCTTAAGGTTGATATAAAACATATTCTGCCTAGTTTTATAATTTACTGTAGCTTCATTATCATCTTCGTTCACCTGGATGTTCTTCCAATCAGTCTTTTGGGGCAGTATATGTTAAGTACCTCAAAGCCGAATTCAGTAAATCCCTGTGTTATTTGAGATTTCGGAACGTTTGTATGGAGTCCTTTCAGAACTACTCTGTAGGCCTTGTCTTCTTTTAACTGATGGTGCCAAAATTTACACTTAAGAGTTGTCAGTGTTTTTACAGCTAGCCGAAAAGCGTCTGAGTTGGCTGTATATATTCTGGATACACCAAATTTGGAAGTGCGGATGTTGTAGTTTTTGGAGCCAATGCTAAGGTCAAGAGATTGTTCCAATAAGACCGGATCGCTTACGTTCGGTACACAAATAGCAGGGATCTTGTTAGATTTTGTAGGCTGTCTATCTCCATTGGGGGCATCAGACTCATCATTGTCATCCAATATGTCTTGCTCCATACTTTCCGCTTCAGCAGCCAGAATCGCAAAGCGATTGTTTCCGAATGTCGGTGCAGCGGATGTAGAGGCCGCCTCATTGGGAGTCGCAGTGGCCTGCCGTTTAGTTTTGCGAATCGGAGGAGGAGACAGGACAGGTAAAGGGGAGTTAGTCACTCCTTTGCGTTTCCTATTAATACTCCGATTGTCTGCTTGAAAGATGCATTTTGTTAAATTATTGTCAGACATAGTTGGGTAAATGCTAGGTGCCACGATTGCAGACCCAGTGTATGTTGGAGTACAGACCAAGCTTGCCTGGACGTTGGAGATGGTGCAGGTTACACTTGTAGTGGCGTTGCTGCTGATTGCCACCAACGAGGAGGTCGTTGTTTGTGTTGGCATACCTGCGAGTAAAGCAGTTACATCTGTACGCTTAGCGCGGAGCTGGCAGCGTATTTCTTCAGGGTCTGCATCAGCTACTTTCCTCATCTCCTCAAACTTATCACATCCATTACTGGGGCGCAATTGAGCAGGTAAATTCTCCATTATATCGGACGATGTAAGTCTGAGAGACAGGTCGATGACAACCTCTCGCTCGCGCAGACGCGCAGGGCGAGGGGCAAAGCACAAAACAGCTTAAAACTTGCTTATTGTTATAAGAATCGCGGTAAAATACCGTCACCGCTCAGCAGTGACTGCAGATAAACTTCGTGTGCAAGAAAAGCCCACGAGCCAAGAAGATGTTTAAAAAACACAAAATATAATTTAGGAGCTACACGTGGATTTCTACCAAGCTGATTGCCATTCACAACGAAACTCACACAGTGAAAAAACCACAGCGCACGCAACTCCTTCCCAGAGGTGCTAATACAAATGCATTCAAAGCCTACCTAGAGCAGCTGAGCGAGGTTAACATAGAAGCCCAGGAACCGTCTGACATTGACAATGCCATCAGCCTTTTCATGCGCATGATAAACCAGGCTGCTGAGATAGCTGCACCTGGGAATCGCCAAAATACAGAGACCTCTAGACATCTCCAGCTACCACACAGAATTGCGGCACTTCTCAACCTAAAGCGAAGAGTAAGAAGAGAATATGCAAGAACGGGAGACGCTCGAATGCATCAGATACATAAACGGCTTGCTAACTGTCTAAGCAAGGCGCTCGCCCGAAGAAAACAAGAATCTATTGACAGCTTTTTGGAGAATCTGGGCACAGACGCTAGTTCCAACTACTCGTTGTGGCGTATCACAAAACGGTACAAGGCTCAGCCCACCCCAAAGTCAGCAATTAAGAATCCCTCAGGTGGCTGGTGCCGTACGAGCCTAGAGAAAGCTGAAGCGTTCGCTAACAACCTCGAGCAACGTTTCAAGCCTTACGACAATTCACCTGAAAGCATACGTCGACAAGTTGATGAGTTTCTAGAATCTCCATTTCAAATGAGCCTGCCTGCTAGCCCTGTCACACTGACAGAGGTTAAAGACCTTGTAGCTAAACTTTCACCGAAGAAAACTCCCGGTGAAGACCTGCTCGACAACAGAACGATTCGACTTTTACCGGATCAAGCCTTGCAATTCCTGGTGTCATTATTCAACAGCATACTAACTCTTGGATACTTCCCGAAAGTTTGGAAATCGGCGAGTATAATCATGATCCCAAAACCAGGTAAATCGCCGACTGACGTGGACTCATACAGGCCCATTAGTCTTCTACCAGGCCTGGGAAAAATCATGGAAAGGCTGATCCTAAATAGGCTGCTCACTTACGAGAATGTCACCAGTGCGATCCCGGAATTTCAGTTCGGCTTTCGTCTTCAACATGGAACTCCTGAGCAATTGCACAGAGTTGTCAATTTTGCTTTAGAAGCCCTAGAGAAGCAGGAGTATGCAGTTGCTGCCTTCCTTGACATCCAGCAGGCCTTTGACAGAGTGTGGCACCCTGGGCTCCTGTACAAAGCCAAAAGTCTTTTTACGCCACAGCTGTTCCAGCTCGTGAAAAGCTTCCTGGAAGAACGCACTTTCCACGTATCTGCTGATGGGCACAAGTCGTCAACCAAACCGATCTCTGCCGGAGTTCCCCAAGGTAGCGTCCTCGGCCCTACTCTCTACAGTATTTATGCTTCAGATATGCCTACACAATCTCCAATCACTGAAGTTGCTGAACAAAACGTGCTAATTGCGACCTACGCCGATGACACTGCTGTCCTGACAAAAAGCAAAAGTATATTGGCTGCCACATTTGCATTGCAACAATATCTGGACGCATTTCACCAATGGGCCATGAACTGGAACATTCGAGTAAACGCAGACAAATGTGCCAATGTAACGTTCACCAATTGTCGAAGTAGCTGCCCTGGAGTCAGCCTCAACGGAAGTCCAATCAGAGCCCTTCCTGCATACAAGTACCTTGGTGTCACTTTGGACAAAAAACTAACATTTGGCAGGCACATTACTTGTATCCAACACTCTTACAGGACCAAAGTTTCTCGGATGGCTTGGCTTCTCGCACCACGCAACAAGCTCGCACTTGGCTGTAAGGTCCAAATTTATAAATCCATATTAGCGCCAACTCTTTTCTATGGACTCCAGGTTTATGGCATCGCTGCAAAAACCAACCTCAACAAAATCCGGGTTCTGCAAGCGAAAACACTTCGAAGGATCTCTGGAGCTCCGTGGTTTATGCGAACCAGTGACATCGAACGTGATCTCAATGTGCCCAAACTTGGAGACAAGCTGCAGGAACTTGCTCGGAAGTACATGGAAAGGTTAAATGAGCACCCCAACAGCCTAGCCAGGAAACTTGGAACTGCTGCCATTAATAACGCTGACCCTCGAACAAGAGTCAAAAGAAGACTAAAGCGACACCACCCTCAAGACCTACCTGACCGGGTTTTGACCTAAACATCATCAATAACAACAACAGCAATATTTCTCCCTAAAATGTCTAGGTTAAATTATTAGTCTTAAGCAACAAAGAAGACCCAATGAAACCGATTATATTAAAGACTGATTAGATTAAGTTGCCAATTGAGTAGCAGTGCGCTAATCAAATAATAAATAAATAATAAAAGAAAAAAAAAAAAAAAAAAAAGACTTTCCTTCCATCAACTTACCTTGAAAACGGAAAATATCGGAGTGTTGTGCAGGGTGCGTTGGAGCCACCTCAAATTCCTGGCCGCCGCTTGCCACACGACGAACTCGTCCTCCCGATGCAGGTTTCGCAGGAAGGACAGGGCGAGGTCATAGGTCACGACCCCGGCGCCGGCCAAACTGAGGACGTCACTGATCAGCTGGGCCCGGGTGAAGCGGTCAATACTGCTCACATTCTGGAAGGCCAGCGCCCGTCCGATCAGGCGCCAATTGCGATCGTCGTAGGTGACGCGGCAGGGCGTGGTCACCCGGAAGTTGAAGATCACCCACTCCTCGGGAAGCGCCACCTCGGTGAGGATGAGGGGGCGGGGGGGCTGGTGCGCCTGGCAGGTCAGCCACTCGCTGGGCAGCGCAGACTCCCAGCTGTCCCGGGCCGCCGAGGTGAAGGCCAGCGGCACCCACCAGCAGTGGCGGCGACTCGCCGCCCGCGGCTTCCCCTGCCACTGCGACCGCTCGGGTTGCGTAGGAACCGCTCCTGGGTCACCATCACCCGCTGCGAGGCGTAGTCGCGCTCCACCCTAACCAGCGGATAGCCCGGCTGCAGCGTCCACGAGTCCATCAGCCGGCTCACCTGGACGTCCTGACGCAGGCTCATCTGGCGGTCCGACTCCTCTTGGAACGCCTTCCACAGGATCGTCTGGTTGGTGGCACCCCTCTTGCTGCGTTGCAAGTACAATCGAATGGCGTTCACGAAAACCTGGATTGATGTTGGGTGTCTTAGCTTAATAATTTCTATTGGGAAATGTCTTAGAAAAAAACAAAAACGATTGGCATCATCAACTGAAAAAATTCAATTTTTGTCCAATATTCCCAAAAATGCATGATATATAATATAATAAGGAGTTACTTATACAAAATGCCAAAATCTGTCAAAATTTCCAATCCATTGATATTTTCAGCTAAAAAAAAATTTTATAAAATCGATAATGTAGTCCTCCGCTGCACAAAACTGTCATTATTTTGGAAGTCTTATTTTGGCAAATATACAACAAAACACCCTTAAAATGTGTTTTTGATGGCCAAAATCCGAAAAAAAATCGGTTCTTTGATGAAAACCCTTGAATAAAAACCCTTGTAAAAAAATTTTAAATCGGTCAAAAAATAAATTTTACCAAATCAACCTGGAATTGATTGTATAGGTTCTCAGCTGCTCACAACAGTCATTCTTTAAGCTGTGCGTCTTATTTTGGCAAAGCTACAACAAAAAACCCTAAAAAATGTGTTTTTTACTTAAAACTTTAAGATGTCCAAAATCCGAAAAAATCAGCTAGATTTTTTGGTAATTCGATTAAAACCCTTGGAAATAATGGTCATATATTGGAATATCATACCTCGTTGAGTTCGTTAGAATTAGAATTTTATTTTGGGCCAATTTTCGCATTCCCTTATAAAAAATGCAAAAATCTCTAAAAAAAAATTAATTTTACCAAATCAACCGGGATTGATAGTTTACTTTTTCAGCTGCATAAAACATTAATTCTTTTGGCTGTGCGTCGTATTTTGGATAATTTAGAACGAACAAGAAAGGAAAGCTTCGGACGGAGCCGAAGTTGATATACCCTTGCATTCTTAAAAATTATTCATATGATGTTTTCTTAATACTCATAAAAAGTCCCAGCTTCCTAACTTTAAAAACACCAAAGTTATGGCATTTCCGACCAATCAGTTATATGGCGGCTATAGGATATAGTCGTCAGATCCTTATGAAATTCGGTAGGTAGGATTAATTGGCCAAAAATAAAACTCATTGAAAATCCCAACTTCCTAACTTTAAAAACACCAACGTTATGGCTTTTCCGATCGTTCAGTTATATGGCAGCTATATGATATAGTCGCCCGATCCGGCTCGTTCCGACTTATATACTACCTGCAATAGAAAGACAACTTTTGGGAAAGTTTCAAGCAGATAGCTCTAAAACTGAGGGACTAGTTTGCGTAGAAACGGACGGACAGACGGACGGACAGACGGACAGACGGACATGGCTAAATCGACTCTCCTGGTGATGCTGATCAAGAATATATATACTTTATAGGGTCGGAAATGTCTCCTTCACTGCGTTGCAAACTTTTGACTGCAATTATAATACCCTCTGCAAGGGTATAAAAACTCTTAAAGAACTTTTATTTTTCTGAAAAAAAAACCCTCGAGTTTCGGTTTCAATCGTTATGAAATTTCCAATCGATTGGCTCTCCCACCTGAATTAATTTTTTTTTCCAATTTTCCCAAAGTACTATAGTCAGACAATTTCGAACACAGATTAATTTCACCACGTCTGAAACCATTAAGTCACAATCACAAAATATTCGTAATCGTACAATTAGTATGACTTGGAGTGACCAACCTGGGTGCCGATGAGGGAGTGCAGCATGCGGAACAGCAGGGCTGACTTGTGGTAGGTCTGGGTGTCGTCGGCGAGGCTCACGGCCTGGGCACTGCCCTTGGAGTCGTTGTCCAGGACGACGAACGCCTGCCGCAGCATGGCCAGCTCGTGGAGTCGCCAGGTGGGCTCCACCTTGTCCACGGCGAAGCCGGCCAGATAGTCGGACAGGCCGTAGTGCAGCCAGTACAGGGAGGGAGTTTCCAGATCGGAGAACCAGTGGTGGGCGAACTCCTTGGCCACGTGACTGGCCACATGCTGCTTGGCCATCGCCGTCGAGCCCTTCTCACTATACAGAAAATCCGCCTCCGGGTAACTCACCAAACCCACGTGCTCGTGGCTCTTGGTTTAATATTTACAAGTGAATAAAACAGAGGAAGTTACCTAAGTGCCAATGCCGTGGAATACCTAGCAAAAAACCTACCTCATAAGCGGTGTCCGGCAGAACCAGCTGGTCAATCTTGGCCGAGGGATACGGCTTTCCAAAGAGGCCCACAAAGTATACTATGATGTGGGGCGTGATGCCGATGGCGTAGGCCCCCTGATCCGCAATCCTCGGTCGCAACCAGGTCACCAGCTCGGGACAGTCATCCAATCTCGGCGATGTCTTGCCCGTGAAGCGATTGATGGAGAAGGCCAGCTTCTGGACGGAAATCGGCGGGGTCTGGTAGAAGCTAGTCCACATGTAGTTATCCCTCTCATGGCTGCAAAATAAATTGAGAAAGTTTAAATGGAAAACCTTCTCTGGGGGAAACAAAACACTTGTTGGTAAACATTTTAATAACAAAATGTACGGCCGGTGGTTATAATCTGAATATTATGTTAATTTCTAAACTGAATAATGAATCAAATACAAAAAATATAGTTATATGCATTTTATATGTCCTATCTAACATAGATCTATTTTGATTTGATAATCGTAATCATTTGGTTACTCAATCTTTTTTAAGTAGTTGCGAGGACAGCTTTGATTCCTAAATGACAAAGAAAGCTTTTTGAGTTGTAAAACTATTTTGCTTTTTCAATTAAATTTAAGAAAATGGGTAAAGCACTTTGCAAATCGATATAAACCGATACATAATTAATTACTAATCCAAATGGATACGAAAAATCAGAATAAACAAGAAAAGCAGCAAACTTCGGCAAGCCGAAGTTTATATACCCTTGCAGTTATTACAAATCGCTGCATTTTGCAATCATTTCTATGGCAGCTATATGATATTGTTGTCCGATTTTAATTTAATAAAACCCGTAATTCCATAATATTTAAACAGTACCAAAGAAAAAGTCCCAAAGAAAAACAACAAAGTTATAATTTTTTGGAATTTTTTTTTACCGATTGTTCTTATGGGAGCTATATGATATAGTCGCCCGATCCGGCTCGTTCCGACTTATATAATACCTGCAATAGAAACACACATTCTGGGAAAGTTTCAAGCAGTTAGCTTTAAAACTGAGGGGCTAGTTTGCGTAAAAACGGACATACGGACAGACAGACGGACAGACGGACGGACAGACGGACATGGCTAGATCGACTCTCCTGGTGATGCTGATCAAGAATATATATACTTTATAGGGTCGGAAATGTCTCCTTCACTGCGTTGCACACTTTTGACCAAAATTTTAATACCCTCTGCAAGGGTATAAAAACTGATCTTCATATGCTTATTTTCTTTCTGTGCACTCACTCGGATGTCCTCTGCACTCGCATATTGCTCACGGCATTGGTGTTCCTTGGATGGGCCAGATTGAGGACGAAGGGGCTGAGGAGGGCGGGGTCCTCGAAGCAGGGGAAGACGGTGTTGGCCAGGTTGGGCGCCAGCTGGCTGACCGCCACCCACTGCAGGTGGCGGCTGGCGTCGACGTAGCCGCCGAGGAAGTAGCCGCCGGTGCGGGACAGCTGGCCACTGAACTCCAGGTGCAGACTGTACTCCTCGCCCAGCCAGAGCAGGCTCTTGAAGGTGATGCCGAGTCGCTGGTGGCGGGCCATCTGCGAGATCTTGCGCACCGCCACCCGGCCGCCGGTGTTCTTGCGGATTAGCACCACCTTGGGGCCCACTTGCAGGCCATTGGTGCTGAGGACGATGGTGCGGGTTTCGCGCCACACGCGCACCCGGATGGTCACCTCGCCGAGGAAGGTTCCGCCCAGACTCACTTCGTCCACCTCGGTCAGCAGACTGAGGTTGTAGTGCAGGGGCCGAACGTCGGAAACGCTGCTCCATTGGCTTCGTGATTTGATGCGGGCCATCGCCATGCAGCCAGGTGCTGCTCCTAGCAGGCACAGGCATAATCCAACCAAGTGCCAACCCAATCTCACCATTATTGCCGGCTGGGGTGGCGTAGGAGATGCGTATCGCCGCGATCTCCCAAATTCGACACACCTGATCGCATTTGGCTGGCATGACGAGTGCTCTCCCGAAATACACCCACCAGCAATGCATTAGCAAGTTGATATTGACTCATCATTAAATCTATTGTTATAAGCCGAAATGTATCCAAAAACCTGCACTTCGAAGCCCATAACTTTTCTTACAGACAGCCTATTTCAAAATGGCATACATCTTAATGATTGTGGGTTAATGCTCTAAATCTGTGTTTTTACTTTATTTTTTTTTTGGTTCGATTTTTTATTATTTTTAATGAGGAAATGGGTTTGTCGAAAAATGGGTTTGCAAAAAAGTGCCAAAAAATGGCACTTCTAAGCTCATAACTTTTCTAACAGACATCCGATTTCAAAGTGGCATACCTCAAAATGATTGTGGTTTAATTCTCTAAAAATCTGTGTTTCTACTTTTTATACCCTTGCAGAGGGTATTATAATTTTCGTCAAAAGTGTGCAACGCAGTGAAGGAGACATCTCCGACCCTATAAAGTATATATATTCTTGATCAGGATCACCTCCTGAGTTGATATAGCCATGTCCGTCTGTCCGTCTGTCCGTCTGTCCGTCTGTCCGTCTGTCCGTCTGTCTGTTTCTACGCAAACTAGTCTCTCAGTTTTAAAGCTATCGAGTTCAAACTTTGCACACACCCTTCTTTCCTTTGCACGCAGTATATATGTCGGAACGGCCGGGATCGGCCGACTATATCCTATAGCTGCCATATAACTGAACTATTGGAAATGCCATAACTTTGGTGTTTGTTAAGTTAGGAAGTTCGGATTTTCTATGGGTTTTATTTTTGGCCAATCAATCCGACCTACCAAACTTCATAAGGATCGGCCGACTATATCCTATAGCTGCCATATAACTGAACGATTGGAAATGCCATAACTTTGGTGTTTTTAAAGTTAGGAAGTTGGGATTTTTTATGAGTATTAAGAATGCATCATATGAATAATTTTGGAGAATATAATTTACAGAGTATTCTGCAAGGGTATATCAACTTCGGCTCCGCCCGAAGTTAGCTTTCCTTTCTTGTTTTTTTTCGATTTTTCATCATTTTTATTTTTTGTCGAAAAATGGGTTTGCAGAAAAGTGCAAAAAAACTGCACTTCTAAGCTCATAACTTTTCTCAAAATGATTGTGGTTAGATTCTCTAAAAATCAGTGTTCTCACCTTAATTTTCATTTTTGGGTCGATTTTTCGTCATTTTCAATGATAAAACCCCTTTAAAAATTTTTGAAAAATTGCTTTGCAGAAAAGTGTCTAAAAACTGTACTTCTAAGCTTATAACATTTCTTACAGAAATGATTGTAGTTTAATTCTCTAAAAAACCTGTGTTTCTACATTAGTTTTTTTTTTGGGTCGATTTTTCATCATTTTCAATGAGGTAACCCTCTTCTAAATTTTCGAAAAATGGGTTTCCAGAAAAAGTGTCAAAAAAGCCCATAACTTTTTTTACAGACATTCGATTTCAAAGTGGAATACATTTAAATGATTGTAGTTTGAGAGAACGAAAACGAGAATCCTCTTTCATAAAGATTTATCTTTGATGAGTTTGTCAAACATCCAACAACTCTCAGAGGGAAATAAAGAGCTCCTTGAGCTTTGTTTCAAAATTAGGAAGTATTATTTGTACGATTAAGTGGGCCACAATGGACGAGATAATGGCAGACCAGATGGTTGATGGAGCCATAGCCACATGTCTCTCCCTTTTTACGTGGCTGTGCCTGAACCTCGTGGGCCAGATCGGCAAACAGGCCCAAAGCAATAGTAAGTTTTCCAATCGAGCAGGCGGTGAGAATAGTGTTTGGCACCGACTTCGCCCCGTTCAAATTTCATTGTGATTCTGCCATCACTCTTACAAAAACAAACTCACACGTATTTCAATAATGGATAACAATACTCTAGCTGGATTTCTGTGGGATGGTTCCCCGGAAGTGAAACCATTTGAATACGAGAAGGGCGATGACGGGACTTGCAGCTCCTTCGATGTTTACGTGAACTTCCTGTGGACATTCGCCCTTATTTACGCGCTGTCCAAGCTGACGCAGTTCTCGGAGTGGTATTTGGGCCAACGTTTGGTGGCCCACAAGCACCGCGGCGATGTCCGCTCCATCAACGGCGAGTGGGAGCAGACCCTTCAGCACCACGAGGACTTCAAGAGCCAGCTGGACGGAGAGGTGCGGCTGCTCACCGAGAAGAACCTCAGCCTGGAGCGCATGATTGTGGACCTGCGCGACTGCAACATCCAACTGATTGGCGAGAACTTTATGCGATCCGTGCATCAGGAACAGGTCTTTATAGCAAATCCATTGTTCCTTTCTATCTAGTCAGTAGAAAAATTTACATATAGATACCTCAATTAAACATTGGACTTTGAAACACATTTTAAAAGTATTAATAAACTCTTGCAATCATTTCAATATAAAATTTATTATGAGATATCTCGAACATCGAGATATAATAAGTAATACATAATATTGAATATATTTAGATATAATAAAGAAAGCACTTACTTATAAATTTATTTCAGAAACAATCATCCGCCCAGTCGAACAACATCTATATCACAAACAGCTACTTCCACTTAACACGCCAGCTGTTCGTCAACGAGGGACATATAGACCTCAATGTTCGAAACATCGGCGGCGAGGATCTATGCTCTATGGGAACCCCCGAGGAGGGACTGAATGTCTGGATGCAGTATCTAATGATGCGCAAGTGCTACATGGGGCCCGTTGCCGATCCCAATTTGATTGCTCCAAGCAACACTGGGAATGTGGGGCCTATTGTTATGACCACCGAGCAGTTGGCCAACTTGCAGGGTGAGTTCTTGTGCCCCTTGCCAAATTGCTGATCTTGTGTTGAATGTTGCATCATTTCAGGAATTATATAGTTGGTTTTTACTTGAGTGCAATTATAAATTGATGATAAAGTTGTTTAATCAAAATTTGAAAAACCCATAAAAATGAATAAAATGTATTATTTAAATGATACGATTTTTGGAAGAATTAATCAGTGGTGGGGCAAGTGATAGGATATGATATATCATAGGATATAGTCTTAATGAAAAAATGGGATAAAAACATTATAGTAGACTAAAACAGCGATAAATACTAAAATGGTTTCAAAAACCAGATCGTTTCAATGGCAGCTATAGGGTATGTATAAGTCCGATCAGCGCCGATTTCAAACTTGATCTGAGTTCACATTTAAAAAACCGATTGCGAAAGTTTCAAGTCTCTAAATTTTAAGCTGAGCTCTCATTCACGGCTTTAGAAACTCCTGACTATAATTAAAAAGTTCTTCTCGGGAGTTGCAAGTCCTTACAGTTGCATTCGGATTTTATCAACAGTTTATAAAGCTTAAGGAATTGAGCTTTAAGTGGGGGTTGACCAAGAAGCTTTGATATATATACGCGGAGAAAGCTGGCCTGTCGCCCCCTGTCGGTCACAGAGGAAGCTCATCGCTGCACCCTTGCAACCAGCTGAGCTATGTGTGGGGGTGGATTCCGATTTTGGTTCCTGCGCCTGCTCGGGAGTGGCTCTGTATTTGGCTCGCTCGTGCTTCCAGAAACTCTCTCGTGGACTGTTACTCTCTCGACTGCGAGGTTAACACGTTGCAAATGTCAAAAGCATGACTTCAGAGTGAGTTCTTTAGTTTCAGTGTGTTCTCTGACTTTGGAGCACTTCGTTACCCTCGAAACGGTGCGCACACAAATCACGCCAAAACGGTATTAAAACAGATACGATAATAACCAAGACCCCTGAAGAAAACGTGGAAATTACGCGAGTGTGGCAAATGCCAAGGATTTAATTTGGTTACATGTTTTTGCGAATTTTGTTTAATAATTAGAGACAGAAATTTAATTTCCTCCAGAAGTCTGCGGCCCATTAACGCGCGCGTGTTTGCCTGATTTGCCAGTGTGTTTGTGCGTGCGTGTGCCTGTGTGTGTATTTGTTTGCCTGTGTGCGTGTGTGTGTGTGACTCGGAGAGTACTTATTATGTAAAGTGCTCGTCTTATTGACAGTTGACAGTGGTTAGTTGCAATGATTTCCATTCCGATTGGCTTTGACCAACTGCCCAAAGTCCGGCAGCTTCAATTTGCTAATTAATCTAGCCTGTCCGCACTTAAGTATGCTCCACAGTTTTAACACACGCACACACACGTCGGGACGTGTAGCAACATGTCTTTGGCAATCGCATTTTTCCCAGCACTTAGCGAGAGCGAAAAGAGCGCGAGTGGCAGCACGAGCACGAATTTATAAATTTTATTATTTTGACTACTCCTCTCACCCTTGTCCTTTCCAATCGCTCTTTTGCCCTTCGAAATGTCAAAATATTGCAGACAAAAGTCTGCTCCGCACAACATTGCCAGTCCAAAATACGAATTTCCCTCGTCAGTCACATGTTTTCCAGCAGGCTGTCAATAGGGAGAGAAAATTCTATGAAGTGTATGGTTACATTGATTACATTTTTTAATTTTTCACCATGGAGTCTTAGAAAGCAATTAAAATATGCTTAGCAAAATTGTATAGTTGTAAATAATTTTATATTTTCCAAGCACACTATGGACATTGCCAGGCTCAAATCGAAAGGCAATTCAAATGGACCGCCACTTGTCGCGTTCCTCACATGCGCCACTTTCTCTCTCTGTTTAATATTTCTCTTTTTCTGTTGGCTCTCTCGGCAGTTAACATAACTTCTGTTAACTTGAGCAGCTTAACACGTTTACCCCTGCTATCATATACAATTAAAAAGGACAAGAAATAACTTAATGTCATTTAAGTATTCGATTTATTTGTAATCCTGCTAAATGTGCACTTCCTAATGATTTTCGAATTCTATGGAATGTTGTATTTTATGTATGGTTTTTTGTTGTATAGCTGAGCATAAAGATAAGAAAATGGCTTAATTAAAAAAGTATGTGTCTAAAGAAGACAGAAAGTTATTGATAATATGATCAATATTTTGAATTTGGCAAAAGATTTAATTCCAGAGAGTCGCAATAGACATATAAAAGAATACACGCAGATGAAGGACACAGATGACAGTTGTTATGGTAGTTAAGGGTTAACTTTAACATGACACCAACATAGCCGCTGTTTCATCCCGCTGCTGAGTTAACAGCGCGTTAACGGGGGACTGCCTCTCTATTTTCCGCTCCTGCGGCCGTCTCTTTCGCACCGCTCAGTTGCTTGGTGGACGCGTGCTCGTGCTGTTTGGCTTAGTTTTTAGTTCTTATTCGAACGCGCTGCCAACGAGTCACAAGTTCGCAAGGCGTACGCAGGGATTGGATTTCCCACTCCCAGTCACATACTTTTTTTTCAGTGTTTTGTGCGCGTGTGTGTGAGTGTGTGGAAACAGAAGGAGGAGCAGGAGCAACATAACACAAACACACGCTCAATGCTCAATATACATAGTACTCTATTTGCATGTGAAGTGAACTGCTTACAGCTGTTCGATTGCAGCTCTGCGCGATCTCCGTTTCCGGTTTTGAGTTGTCCTTTTGAACAGTTAATTGTTAACCGTTACCGTTAACCGATTTGCCGTCCTGGGTGACTGTCTATGTGTGTGAGTGTGTTTATTTTGTCTTCTTTGGTTAATTTCCTGTGTAGTTTATTTTTTTGTTTCGGCTGTTTCGCCTGTTCAACTAGGCAAGTGGTATAGCTCTCTCGCTCTGAGTCAGCAGCGCCTGTCAAGCGGAGGGTTGTTTTTTTTTCCTGCCGCTCCCCTTCCCGCCGCCAAAAACTTCACTTCAACCACTTGCCGTCGCCGTCGACGTCATCGCAGCCATACAACAAACCACCGAGACACCACCCCCCATCCCAACCCAGTGTCATTGGCACTCGCTTTTAGTTATTCCTTTCGCCTTTGAGTTTTTGAGTTGTGCTTTGTCTGCAAGAGAAAGCCAAAAAGAACAAGGACAAGCAAGACATGGCGAATCAGTTAACAATTTTATGTTGCTCAATTATTAGGCATTCCGAAAAATAACAATACTGAATAGCAAGAACAAAGACAATAAGTGAACTGAGAAAACGAGAACTGCGAACCGCTGAAAAACGTTGCACCCACCACCGCCTCACCGCTCGCCCGGTAGTTTAAAGCTAATGCCACCGCCCACCACCACTAGAACTCTTCCACCACAACCACTATTGCCACCACCACCACCATCACGACCATCACCACCAAGAACCAAGAACCACAACCACCAACTTCCAGCCTCGACCTGAACCACTTCGCAATAAACAAAACCAAGAACCAAAAAAAAAAGAAAGAAAGGCAGAGTCCAGATTCAAAGTCCACTTGTCCAAAATGTCGTCAGTCGAAAAATGTGAGCTTCACCAAATGCATTACTAGATGTTCGTTCCCGTAATATGTGCATATAGCATCCCCCTAGAACCTCTAGCGTAGCTCCTCAAAGAACCAAAAGTCGTAGCGCCCATTCTCTATCCAACCCAACAAACTAACCACTCCCCGATTTGTCTTGCCATGTTTGCCACTTTAGATCTAGACTCTTGACAACAAATAAATAAACCACATTCCACCTTTATTCTGTTATTTTCCATATATCTTTAAATACTATAACTAAACCTATAACTATTACTATACTATCGGTCTGCCTCTCTCTCTGTCTTTCTCGTTCTGTCTAGTTAACATGCCTTGAACTTTCACCCACTCTGTTAACTTCTCCTGCCAAACAAAACAAAAACTTTCCTCCTTAACTCTTTGGAAATTGGGATGGGAAGACCGACTGAGAAAAACATCTGAAAAGTGATGTTCTCAAGATGGTTCCTGTGCGATGGCACTCGAAAAACTTCCGTTGATTGGCCTGAGTCCCGACTGTAAATAAGATCCCATTCCACGACTTTCTTCACACACTTTCGATTTGCCTGCTTCTTAGCCAACCTGCATGCCCCGAGAAATCATCATCTACTGGTTATCGATTTATCATTTGAGAATGCCACACAGAACCACACACAAAAGACGATGATTATTGGGTCGATCGGTGGATCAGCCATCGCAGAAATTACAAGCCACACACACTATATTGTACGTTAGCCCCGTAAAGTTACGTATTTTCCGTTTCGTTCCTCGTTTCTCGTAGTTTCCCAGTTCGTTTGATGCGTTCCTTCCTTCGTTCGTTCGTTCGTTCGTTGTGTTTGCCAAGTTCGATTTTGTTGTACTCGAATTCTCCAACTGGCCAAGAACCAGGTTCGGACCTCAGAATTCGGAATTGGCAAGCCAGAAGCCAAAAACTGAACAGTAACAACAGCTAACAGACAAACAAACAACCAGCAGTTTAAATCAAAACCTTAACCCAATCTTAATATATTCATTCAAACCTAAAGTGTGTCTAATCACAAATTCTTAATGTAAAATTCTCTTTAAACCAAATAATCCAAACACGAATCACACAAACCAAAAACCAAAATCTAATACAAATAATCGAATCGAAATCGCAGACCCAGGCAAAACTCCCATTGACCACCAAGCATATGAGCTTGTGGCTAAAGGTAAGCTATGAATAGTCAATATTTCAATGTTTATTTGCGAATCGAAAACCTGTAAGCGGTGGATTAGTATTTTCTGTTTGGCGTGCAGTTTATTTAATATTCAGTTGTGTTTTCATTAAAAATATTTTATTTATGCTCAAAGCATATATACCTAAATCAGAATTGATTATTGTATAAGCTAATAGGCATACAGTTATTAGAAAGTGAGGTTACCATTACAATTCTTTATATTTGCCGAAATGTACAACATTTGTTTAACTTCCATGGAAAAGGTTTATATATATGTTGTTAGTCAAATATTTACTATACCACAAAAATATTTCGTCAAATCGAATTGTATTTTTAATTAGTAAGTAAATATCATGAACGCTTTTCTATTTAACTTTTCCGAATCAAGGGATTGGATGTATAAAACTAATAAGGACTTCCCAATACAATATCCCTGCAATGGGTAACTTATCAACCCCATTCCGCTAATCAAATCCCAGAAATAATATAATCCAATAATATCTATAGTTTTTACTGTCTCTGCATAATTGAATCGAACTTCTGTGAATGAGCCATGAATAATCATAGCTGGCATAAATAGGCCCTTAAAGCTTCAGTTTTATCGGTGCAGTAGTTGGCTTGGGAAATCCCCGTCGGGCTCAAGGGAAATTCCCTCTAAATGATTATCTTCGGTCCCTTCCTGGTTCCTCATTGATTTGTCGCATGTCCGGATGTTGTCGGCTCTGCCCCCACGTCTTGCCACATGCAACTATTCATTTTCAATTATCCTGTTAAATTAATGCCTTGTACTCGTCTGCCCCGTCCTCGACTTCCTTTCCAGCACATCCCCACATATCCTTTGTCTGCGGCATGATTCAGCTATCTGTGGAAAGTTTGTTTTTTAACCCCCCGCTCGCCGAGCTTTGCTTTTGTTGCTGGCGACAATTTCAACGGCAGACGGCGGCTTGGCTCTAAAATATTGGTTATTAGCATAGTCGGGGGAGGTGCGAGGGGTTTTCATGGGGTGTGTGGGACTTAGGGGACTGCTGGTCTACTGGAAGCTGACAAAGCAGCCAACGCTTTTTGTTGCCTACTTTTTGGGGTCAGGGACTTGTTTTGTCAGCTTTTGCGAGGCAAGCGCCAAGCAAATTGCCAGACACACACTGAATCGAGTGGGGAGTGATGGAGGGGCACTCTGTATAGATAGAACCCGCTTATACATCTATTTATCCGCTACCCACAAGTTTTTCGCCCCCACCCACTCCTGCTGCCGCTGCATCTTTTGTATTGTGAATCATAGCCAAATGCATTCGACGCCGCGCCATGGCCAATGGGGCTGACAATGCACAAAGAGCCAGGGGAAAGATAAGTGAGTGCCTCCCCAAAAGCGCCCGCCCATCATCCCCCATCCAGCCTGGTGGCTGTCGTCATCGCTCTCTCATCATCATCGGCGTCATCATCCTCATCCTTCCTTCAATCCTGCCATTCCACCATCCCGACCATCCACCGACCTCACCATCGACCACTGACTATTCTGGCTTTTGTTCGATCCGTTCAGTTCAGCGAGAGCTAATTTAGCGTTAATCGAAGTGTATTTACACTAGCCTCCCTTTCATCAGCACACACACAAAACCCCCCCTTTGCTCTGATTGCATTAGCTTGATGGCTGCCCTGGCTTGTCACTAATTAGTTTTCAATCCTACAACTCCTTTCCGGATCTTCCGACACCCGGTCAAAAAAAAAGCAACGAATCCATTTCTTTGAGTTGACAGTAGATGACTTAACGAGGTTACAACTCACAGGGTGTCATTGGCTCTAAAAAGTAAGTCGTGCTAAAGAAAAATATTTGATGATCACATGTCTTTATTAGTAACCGAAGGTTGACAACTGCTTGACAACCGTTTGAAAGGATTGCAAAAATCTCTAATTGTATTCCTCCTTAGCGATGTTTAAGTAAGTCTGGTAAAAAATTAGCAGAGGACGATTTTTACTATGCTCTAAACATTTCTAACCAAAATAATTGTATTTTTAGTAAAAATAAGGGGAATTTTTTACTCTATATGCTAAGATAATATCTAATTAGATTTCCGTTAATATATATTACAGAGTGTATTTTTAGACACCTTAAAAAGACATTCCTAGTCCATACACATTTATGTTTCTTGTCTAAATTTGTTCAGCTAATTTAAAACCTTTCTCTTCAAGATACCAACAACTTATATAAGTAATTTTATCTCTTTAATAAAATACAATTTTACAAAGTTTTAGTTGTGCTAAAAGGATGCCTTAAAATCTTATTGTGAAGATAAAACCCATTTGTGCTATTAATAAGAACACGTTTGTGACTTTGGTTGAGTTGCTTAACAAGAAGGACTGCAATTGTCGATATATGTTAATTCTGTGGAATAAGTCCCAAGCTCTTTCAATTGTCAGTCTACTTATCAAGATTTCCATTCAACAACTGCAAGACCCTTTGAAAGTTTCGAGTGTTGGAATTGGCTCTACTTTACTTTCCGATAATCCCGATTGTTTAGCAACAAGCCGCTTCAAAGGCAATGTCCCAGAGCAATCTAAAGTGACTGAGCAGCTTGGGACAATCTGATGCGCTTGGAAGTCTCTATTTCGACAGTCGCAGTGCTCATTAATTGACCACAACAGCTGGCGAGCTGAACTTGAGTTTTCTTGGTAATTGGACCACTTCTTCTGCTGTTCCAGCTGCCGACTCATCAGCACTCGTCTGTGAAATCCTTTGTTGTTACAATGCAGGAGCGGTGGATCAGAATTATGGGTGGCATGAAGAAATGCTCCATTTGTTTTTGGGCCTTCGTGTTTGACTTGGTGCACAGCGAAAAATATGCTTTGCTGTTTCAAGCTATCAAACTTACTTAATATGTTGAGGCTGATTGATTGAGAGCTATTTTTAGGGATTCCAAAAACTATTGTTATTATTATGGTCTTTAACAAATAAGAACAATTATAAAAGTTCAGACCAAAAACTACAAATAACTTAAAATCACTTCTTAACGTGCTTAAAAGTGTTCAGTAAAATAAATGACGTTTTTTATACCCTTGCAGAGGGTATTATAATTTCAGTCAAAAGTTTGCAACGCAGTGAAGGAGACATTTCCGACCCTATAAAGTATATATATTCTTGTTCAGCATCACCAGGAGAGTCGATCTAGCCATGTCCTCAGTCCCTCAGTTTTAAAGCTATCTGCTTGAAACTTTCCCAAAAGTTGTCTTTCTATTGCAGGTAGTATATAAGTCGGAACGAGCCGGATCGGGCGACTATATCATATAGCTGCCATATAACTGGACGATCGGAAAAGCCATAACGTTGGTGTTTGTAAAGTTAGGAAGTTGGGATTTTCTATGAGTTTTGTTTTTGGCCAATTAATCCGACCTACCGAATTTCATGAGGATCGGCCGACTATATCCTATAGCCGCCATATAACTGAACGATAGGAAATGCCATAACTTTGGTGTTCTTAAAGTTAGGAAGTTGGGACTTTTCATGAGTATTAAGAATACATCATATGAATAATTTTGAAGAATATAATTTACAGAATATTCTGCAAGGGCATATAAACTTCAGATCCGTCCGAAGTTAGCTTTCCTTTCTTGTTTTAGTATTGAATCTCTCGGTTTTTCGGTTCATAAGTGATTTCAATACTCCATGTATAGTATTAACGTTTTTCGTAATACCTTTAGTATTTACTTCCTGAAATCCATTATATATAACAAAATGTCAAATTTAATTCCATAGATAAGCGTTTTTTTAATACGAAATGCTACCGCTTTGATGTTCCGCTCTGGTGACATTTTTTCGCCGTGTTTCCGTTGTTTTTTCGCTTCCCTCTAACATTTTCTTTTTGCCAGCGTGTGCGTGCGAAATCCGGATGTTGGCATATGGCTCGACGCAGCTGTGAGTGGAAAAACGTTGCGCATACGGCCCGTGTGCCCGACGCCGAGATGCATTTGTGTGTGTACCTAACTAATATGCTATGAACGTCGCTTCGACACGTTGCAATTGTTGCCCTTCGTTGTCGTTGTTGTTCCTTTTCCTGTTTCTGTTCCCGTTCCTCCCATTGTTGTCCTTATTGTTCGCCACATTTGTATGGTGATCTCCACTCCATTCTCCCCGGAATGGGCTGGAGCAATAAATGTTTGCTGTGGCCAAATATTGGGCTAGCTGCTGGGCCGGTGTCCTTGTACTCGACAGAATGGCGAAAAACAACAGCGAACGAACTGGGACATCCTGTGCTACGGAAGCACCGAAGTGGAGCATACACTCAAGGAGCCATCAACTCGATGCGATGAGTGCTGGGAATTGCAATCAAGTGAGGACTCTATTTCGAGTCGCAACTTCTACTGAAGAGGTTATTTGAAATACTCCGAAATTACCCATACTAAATGCTGACATTTATTGGAATTTTCATTTAATCAAACAATAATTTCAAATAATCTTATCTATTCCAAAGATATTGCTAGGGTTTTAAAACCACATGTAAAGGTGTCTTAAGTTATGCAACAAAATAGTTTTAATTATTATTAGTTTAATTATAAAAGACGTCGTTCTGATTCCACAGTATCATTTTAGATACCTTCATAAGTATTTTAAATATTCTAGAGATTTCAGAAGCGCCAATCGTTTATTTTTAAATTTCCTAATCAAAACAAATGTATATTCCATGTTTTATTTCCGAATGGCTTGAATTATTTCCGGGATGACCTCGTGTAAATTTACGCAGAGCTATATTGCTGCATTTGTGATCGCAGTGGCATTCAACCCGTTTGCGAGGATATAAAACCTGCTTAATTTCCATAAACCAGGCAACGGTTACGAGTCCTGCACCTGCAGAGCGTGCATCCGAGCGCTTTTCGGTGTGTGTGTGTGTGCGACAGGTAAGTGAATTTATGTTGCACACGCTATGCGAAACATGCCACTGCATCTGCCCATAAAAACATGACAACAGCAACAACGACAAGGACAGCGACGGGAGGAGCCAGAG